TTAGCATGTTGGAAATATCTGAGTTTCCTAGTTCCGACTAGCAAGGGAACGCGACATAACACCGAATGACAGGGTCATTTGGTACCTCAAGGTCATTCCCACACACACACACAAACACGCACAGAACCCGGCTGGATGCTTCATAAACCTGGAGGATTTAGGACTCCAATCCCACAGAGTTGGGAAGGAAGCAGGCATCCCATAAGTCAGTCTGAGAATGATGGAAATACTGAAATACCGGGCAGCCTAGCCACAGGAACTGACCTGTTTAAAGGACAAAAAAGGGAATCAAAAAAAAAATACTGAATAATTCATGAAAATGTATTTCCTTTATTGTTCCGTATTAACTGATCCAATTCCATCTGGACCAAGGAGTAAGTGAGTATAGGAGAAGTATGGAGAGGGGGATGAGAGAGGTACAAACAGTGTTATATCCTGCTACCAGCCCTTTGGTGTGTACAGTGAGGGAAAAAAGTATTTGATCCCCTGCTGATTTTGTACGTTTGCCCACTGACAAAGAAATGATCAGTCTATAATTTTAATGGTATGTTTATTTGAACAGTGAGAGACAGAATAACCACAAAAAAATCCAGAAAAAACGCATGTCAAAAATGTTATAAAATGATTTGCATTTTAATGAGGGAAATAAGTATTTGACCCCCTCTCAATCAGAAAGATGTATGGCTCCCAGGTGTCTTTTATACAGGTAACGAGATTAGGAGCACACTCTTAAAGGGTGTGTAAAAGGCATGACAATGACCCAAAACACACGGCCAAGGCAACAAAGGAGTTGCTCAAGAAGAAGCACATTAAGGTCCTGGAGTGGCCTAGCCAGTCTCCAGACCTTAATCCCATAGAAAATCTGTGGCGGGAGCTGAAGGTTCAAGTTGCCAAACGTCAGCCTCGAAACCTTAATGACTTGGAGAAGATCTGCAAAGAGGAGTAGAACAAAATCCCTCCTGAGATGTGTGCAAACCTGGTGGTCAACTACAAGAAACGTCTGACCTCTGTGATTGCCAACAAGGGTTTTGCCACCAAGTACTAAGTCATGTTTTGCAGAGGGGTCAAATACTTATTTCCCTCATTAAAATGCAAATCAATTTATAACATTCTTGACATGCGTTTTTCTAGATTTTTTGTTGTTATTCTGTCTCTCACTGTTAAAATAAATCTACCATTAAAATTATAGACTGATCATGTCTTTTTCAGTGGGCAAACATACAAAATCAGCAGGGGATCAAATACTTTTTTCCCTCACTGTATAGGGAGGAGGTAAGAGAGGGGGATAGGGGAGAAAGGGAGTCTACAGCATATTTATGATGGTCTTGTATGTTCTTCCATCCATGGTGGATATAGTGATTGTGGTGTACCATACGTACCACGGTTACCACTTTCCCCCTTTTATAAAGGGGGAAGGGAGGTCAATGGAGTCTCTGGATGCAATATTATTATCATCAGAGACCTAGATAGCAAACAGCCACTTCCATTTCCAAGTCCAGCCATGACGGAGACATGCACTGAGGTCCCTGTACTGTGGAATGTATTTCCATTAAATAAGATTAGGTTAGATTAAAAACAATAAAACAAGCCGTACTCATGATGGTCAACTGACAGGTGGATGGTGTGTGAGAGGTGTTGCAGAGCATGCTGGGTAAGTCATGTGACCCACTGGCGTAGCACACACCCCTGCAGCCCCCGCAAGGGGGGTGTTGGGCCCCCAGATAGCATATGAACACGTCACAAGCCATTTAAAAAACATTAAGAATTACAGGAAATTTGCTTTAAAACTGCAACATTTACTCTCAGCCTCATGACAACATTTGTAAAATAGCAGGAAATTAGCTCAGGGATTCTTGAAAGTTGGGACAATCCTTGTCCAGCAGGGAAGCTTTTTGTTATTTGAGTTTAACATTTACATTTAGGGGAGTTTTATAAAGAAGAGATTTGTTTTGGGAATTTTCTAAATACTTTGAATATGATTCATTTACATGTCGGCTCTATGCCTGGAAATGCTCTTGTCCGGAGCAAAGGATCCCAATTTCAACTGGCAATAATTAACTGAAAAATTATCTTATGTAATTTCTTGCAATAGCCCTCTGTGACTTTAAAGAATATTTCTCTAAAAGATGTGTCCGGAGATTTGGTAAACTCAGTCAGATGTGTCTAAAATCCTAAATTAATCAGGAATGAGCAGGGTCAGCTATACCATAAGGACCCCTTATTCATGTCCTCATTACATGTAGTGCAACAAGACCATTCATGGTCTGTAAAGTTAACTTTTGATAGATTTAAATAAACCATATTGGAATCACCATGGTCACAACTATAAACTGTCAACTCCATCTGCCTGATAGATTACGATAGGATATGATTTTTGGTTCACATATGTTACATTTAATTCGGTTTTAGAGTCATAAAGCAACTGAGGAAAAACTAAATTGCTACTGTGTATATACAGTGGGGGAAAAAAGTATTTAGTCAGCCACCAATTGTGCAAGTTCTCCCACTTAAAAAGATGAGAGAGGCCTGTAATTTTCATCATAGGTACACGTCAACTATGACAGACAAAATGAGGAAAAAAAATCCAGAAAATCACATTGTAGGATTTTTAATGAATTTATTTGAAAATTATGGTGGAAAATAAGTATTTGGTCAATAACAAAAGTTTCTCAATACTTCGTTATATACCCTTTGTTGGCAATGACACAGGTCAAACGTTTTCTGTAAGTCTTCACAAGGTTTTCACACACTGTTGCTGGTATTTTGGCCCATTCCTCCATGCAGATCTCCTCTAGAGCAGTGATGTTTTGGGGCTGTCGCTGGGCAACATGGACTTTCAACTCCCTCCAAAGATTTTCTATGGGGTTGAGATCTGGAGACTGGCTAGGCCACTCCAGGACCTTGAAATGCTTCTTACGAAGCCACTCCTTCGTTGCCCGGGCGGTGTGTTTGGGATCATTGTCATGCTGAAAGACCCAGCCACGTTTCATCTTCAATGCCCTTGCTGATGGAAGGAGGTTTTCACTCAAAATCTCACGATACATGGCCCCATTCATTCTTTCCTTTACACGGATCAGTCGTCCTGGTCCCTTTGCAGAAAAACAGCCCCAAAGCATGATGTTTCCACCCTCATGCTTCACAGTAGGTATGGTGTTCTTTGGATGCAACTCAGCATTCTTTGTCCTCCAAACACGACGAGTTGAGTTTTTACCAAAAAGTTCTATTTTGGTTTCATCTGACCATATGACATTCTCCCAATTCTCTTCTGGATCATCCAAATGCACTCTAGCAAACTTCAGACGGGCCTGGACATGTACTGGCTTAAGCAGGGGGACACGTCTGGCACTGCAGGATTTGAGTCCCTGGCGGCGTAGTGTGTTACTGATGGTAGGCTTTGTTACTTTGGTCCCAGCTCTCTGCAGGTCATTCACTAGGTCCCCCCATGTGGTTCTGGGATTTTTGCTCACCGTTCTTGTGATCATTTTGACCCCACGGGGTGAGATCTTGCGTGGAGCCCCAGATCGAGGGAGATTATCAGTGGTCATGTATGTCTTCCATTTCCTAATAATTGCTCCCACAGTTGATTTCTTCAAACCAAGCTGCTTACCTATTGCAGATTCAGTCTTCCCAGCCTGGTGCAGGTCTACAATTTTGTTTCTGGTGTCCTTTGACAGCTCTTTGGTCTTGGCCATAGTGGAGTTTGGAGTGTGACTGTTTGAGGTTGTGGACAGGTGTCTTTTATACTGATAACAAGTTCAAACAGGTGCCATTAATACAGGTAACGAGTGGAGGACAGAGGAGCCTCTTAAAGAAGAAGTTACAGGTCTGTGAGAGCCAGAAATCTTGCTTGTTTGTAGGTGACCAAATACTTATTTTCCACCATAATTTGCAAATAAATTCATAAAAAATCCTACAATGTGATTTTCTGGAAAAAAAATGCTCAATTTGTCTGTCATAGTTGACGTGTACCTATGATGAAAATTACAGGCCTCTCTCATCTTTTTAAGTGGGAGAACTTGCACAATTGGTGGCTGACTAAATACTTTTTTTCCCCACTGTATACCACTTGATTGAAGAACAAAAATAAACATTTTGTCAACTCCGTAAAACATCAACAATTTTTCTCAAACGTCAACAGAGTGCTGAAAGATCTGACAGAAATGTTGTTTTTATTGGGGATTTTCAAATGAATCATTTTCTATATTTTACAAATGTTTTAATTGAACTTTTATTTTTAGACGCAAAAATATGTCTGTTTTGAGTATCTGTTGTCAACTCTGTCAGTGGCTTGTCAACTCCATCACTGATGGCTAACACCCTTAAAACTATTCTGCAAGATATGCTTAAACAATATAAGTATTTGCTGTGCTAGACCTAAGGGATAATATTTGCTTTATAAATGTTGTTTAATGTTCTAAATCTAGAAAAACATGCCAAAGTGCTAACTAAATTAGTCCTGGAGCATTTAATAGTGCAATAAAACAAAACAAAAATAATTTTGGAGATTTGTATTACATATTTGAATAATCGAATGTTAGAATTAAACAATCAACAATGTCTTTACATTTTATCTTTCATTCATTGTGAATAAAAATATAATTATAATTATTTTTTAAATTAAACAATCAAGGCCTTTAAACACTGGGACAATAATTGTACAAATGAAATGCCTTTTATGGTGTCTGACGGAGTTTACATAAATCCAGTTAGTTGCATTTTATGAGAAAAATAAAATAAAACATAGGTTGTTCCTTTACATGGTGTGATAGCTTTTACTTTGGTCTATCAAAATATATATTTAAAATGTTGTTTAAATCAAGAATCCCTGAGCTCTAAAACAGCAACATTTTCTCTCAGCCTCATGGCAAAATGTGTAAAATAGCATGAGATTAGCTATACAACTGCAAATGTTTCTCTCTGTCCCATGTCTGGGGTTGGGGGGGCCTTGCATCGGACCCCCACAAAACTGTGCTACGCCACTGATGTGACCCTGCTGTAAACTATGGTTTCCAGGCTCCCGATTGGTTCATGGTGTTGCCTGTCTCCACCACGTGAGGAGGGCAACTTCTGTGCTGCCCGTCTCCACCACGTCCCTTAGGGCAACTTCCCTTCAGGACTTCTCTGATGTCAGCACGCAGTGGAGGGAGGCGGACAACACCTGGGCTTGTTCCTGCACAGAGAAAGGGAGAGGAGAAGGGAAATCGACTTCTTATGAAAAACTGTCATTTAGCATTTCAGTCATTCACATTTCTATCATTTAACAATTCAGTCATTCAGCATTTTAGTGAATGCCATTTCAGTCATTGGCTTATATGGGAAACTTAATAAAATAACTTTCAGTCATTTGGCAGATAAGTTTATCCACTGTGACTGATGCTGACGGTCGGGCCATTGTGAAAAAAACGTGTCTGTCTGGGCCATTGAGACCCGCTTCCTCAGTCTCCTGCTATATGAACGGATAAGAGGAGACACACAGGAAGACTGTTTCACACGTTATAATACATTATCTTGCACAGCATTGCCTTCAGTTTGCCACAAACTGGCACAATAAGTTGTATGATAAGCTACAGAGGACCAGAGTTTGTGTGGACCCCAGAATATTGCCATGTGTCACGATCGTTGAGAGACAGGTCAGACCAAGGTGCAGCGTGGTATGCGTACATATTTATTAATGAAGATAAACACTTGACAAAACAACAAAAGCAACGTAACGTGAAGTCCTATGGGCTATACTCACAACAAGCCTAACAGGAACACAACCACGAGTAAAGATCCCACAACTAAGGTAGGCAACCAGGCTACCTAAGTATGATCCCCATTCAGAGACAACGAGCGACAGCTGCCTCTGATTGGGAATCACACCCGGCCAAACATAGAAATACACATACTTGATCCTAAACAGAATCGAATAACCTAGATCTCAAACAGAACTCACACCCTGACCCAACCAACAAGAGTTCTCTAAGTCAGGGCGTGACACCATGAGATGTATTGATATGAGACTGTGGTAGTCAGTGATGTAGTGGTAAAAAACTGGTGGATAAACGCTGATCGCCATCCACGTTAAATAAAGTAATGCTCCCTATACTTTCAATGCATTTTTTCGCAAATGGTAGGTAAACGCTTGTGCAAAATTAAAAAGGTGCGTAAAGGGTGTTTTCGTGTGTTTACTCTCAACTACACCACTGGTTGTAGTACAGACTGTCTGCTGGATGGTCTGTCAGTCTGTTACATGCACACCCACACGCACACACACGTGCACTTACACACACACACTCACCGCACTGCTGCACTGGTACAACCAGATGCTACACTCCTGCTGCTTGGCGTCGGTAGTCTCGAGAGCCAGCAGGTTCTTCCCAGCCCCCAGGCCGTCATCATAACACAGCATCCTCACAATCAGGTAGAGAGGGTGGCGGTGCAGAACGTCCTTTACAGGATCCACAACAATAATGCACATTACAAACATCGTCATAACACAGACAGACAATCAGGTAGAGCGGGAAACAGTGCAGAAGCGTCCAACATAGGAAACGTTGCAACAATATGTTCCAACTAGATAGTAGAAACTTTTGTGACGCTAAAGCATTTATAACATGAAAATGGAAACACTCACACACTGATCCATGGAGGCCACTTTGACTCCGTACTTGGACACTCCCAGGACCATCTCCTCATCTCCTGGCACAAACGGCAGCTTTCCATCTTGCTTTGGAAGGAACACAACAGGTACTCAATGTTCATGTAGAGTGACTTGTCAAGGAGGACACAGAGGCTGCCTCTGCCTCACATCCCTATAACATTCATCTCCATCACGATCACCATAATCAATCACCATGATCAAACTGAGTGGTTATAGTTATTATCCAGTAATGAATTGGTCTCCACTGCACTGCATTTAACCTTTAAGTATAGTATTGCGTTCTTGGTTCTTACCTGAGCTGCATCTATGTAGTTGATGAGCTCCAGAGGCTCCTGAAGAGTTTTACTAATCTCAAACTGCAGCTTCTCAATGGCTCCCACGTACTTCACTCTGAACTCAGCACATGTCTCTGACGCAGCACTGTTACCTACATACAGTTCACAGTTCATACATCAGTCATGATTACCACTGGGTCATGATGGGGTTCATTAGGCATTAAACGGAAGAAAATGAACTGAAACAGAGAGGGACTACCAATAAGAAACACTAACTTTAGTTGTTCATTGCAAAATGCTTTAAAATGTTTTGCTGCATGCCCTACAATGAACATCAGTCAAATCTGAAAGAACTTGATTTGTACAGTCAATACTGTGGGACATTTACAGCCCCTTCATCTGACTGTCAGTGAATAGCTGCAATTGTGGTCCTTTGTAGCTCAAATGTATGCACATATGACTAAGTCGCTTTGGATAAAAGCATATGCTAAATGGTGTATATTATATATTACAATAGGAAGGAAATGAGAGGAGGAAACTAGCCTACGTCATTTCAGAGAATTGAGATATGGCCATGTTAGGACTTCTTACCTGAGCTCTTGGTGGAGACTGTGTCGAGGCTGGCTATAGTACTGGCCCTGGAGAGACCTCCCAAACTAGTCTACAGACTAAAGACAGGAGGGAGAAAAGCACTGAGAAATGCTACATGATTGACTGAAACGTTGACCAAATCGCAGAGGTCATGGTTTCTGCTGCAGTATTTGTATATGAGAAAGAAAAGAAAAACACACCAACCTCTTATGAGTAGAGTTTTAGTGGAAAACTAGAAAAGAGCTTGAGGCAGACATGGATTTAGGAGTCCTTGACAGAATGCAAGACGTTCTTAAAGGCCCAGTGCAGTCAAAAACGTGAGTGTCCTGTGTTTTATATACGTATATTTCCACACTATGAGGTTGGAATAATACTATCAAATTATGAAAATGCCCTTTTAGTGTAACGGCTGTTTGATGGAGTTTTGGCCTATTTTGGTGGGATGGAGTTTTGGCCTGCCTGGTGACATCACCAGGAGGTTAATTAATTAATTAATAGACCAATAAGAAAGATCGTTCCAAACCTCTCTGCCAATAACAGCTAGTTTTCCGTTTTCCCCTCCCCATTCAGACAGTCCAAGCAAAAAAATATTGCGAAATTGTTCTTTGCTAAGAAGCTATTTTTGTTTCTTTTTTTTACAATTTTAATTGAAAACAATCACAGTAAGGTACTTAATTGTTACCCAGAAATAATTTGATATTGAGATAAAAACTGCTGCATTGGACAATTAATAAACTGAGTCATGTACCCATCAGCAACGTAATTAGAGAGGACAGCTGTGCAGTACGTGCATCGATGGTCATGAAGAGCGATTTCTCCATCTGATCAATCCCGCCTCTGTGGCTTAAACATCTTTGCATTTGTTTGTTATTCATCACAGGGGCAGGCACATGACAGAGCTCTCTTCTAACATGAATGAAAGCCACTGTCAGATGTGAGGGGTCTTCTAATATGGTTATACAGTTTTTGCCCATTGCTTACACACTAAAACCGAATGCTTAGACCAAAGCCTCAATACCTAAACTTCTTGTAGCATACCTTAAACACAGTGTAACCATAGCTTAAACACAAGGTCAACTTTGCACTTTGTTTGCAATTCTGTAACACACTTATTGCGAAACACTACACACGTTTTCTTACATTAGACACTTTGTCCAAAAACAAAATGACCTGTTATCATTGGGAAAACACTCTGTTCAAAATGCAAAACTCATCTGGCAATTGTATGCACTTACATACACACCTGGAAACACTTGCACAGAAAACAGAACACCAATAAGTCTGAGCCTTAGCACTACAAATAGGCCTCAGGTAAGCCATTTTTAGAACTTTGCAAGCATGGAGGCAATGAGAGTCAGAGGAGGACAAAGAGAGAGAGGAGTCGGATGTGGAAGAGGACGTGGAAGAGGACGAGGACCAGTGTGGAGACGTATATCAGATGACATCAGGGCTACACTGGTGGACCATGTGATAAATCATGGCCTGTCCATGAGGGAGGCTGGGCAAAGAGTCCACCCTAACCTCAGTCGCTACACAGTAGCATCGATAATAAGGACATTCCGACTGGAGAACAGGTATATCTTCAAGTTTCTACTCCAGACTGTACCTACTGTATGTGTCACATTATTCTGTATCATATTACAGTATTACTGTACTAACTATACTATACAAAAATGGGTAGTGCTGTGAAGTACTGTATATGTAAAGGAATACCATTGTGATGTTGCAGTACTGTGTACAGTTTGAAAGTACAGTATGTGAAAAATAGTAGTGGTACGGGTAGTAGCTCAGCTGGTAGAGCACGGCGCTTGTAACGCCAAGGTAGTGGGTTCGATCCCCGGGACCACCCATACACAAAAAAAAAATGTATGCACGCATGACTGTAAGTCGCTTTGGATAAAAGCGTCTGCTAAATGGCATATTATTAAAATAACCTAACCAATTACATCTTGTGGTGGCATTTTCTACAGAATGGTTGGACGACCTCCTCAAGGTGGAAGGGAACGGCTCTTCACTCAACAACAAGAGCTTGCCATCATTGAAATGGTGCGAGAAAATAATGCAATCCGACTTCGTGAGTTGCAACAACGCATAATTGCAAATGGAAATGAATTCAACAATATCAACAGGGTCAGCATTTCTACACTAAGACGCATCCTACAGAAACATAACTTCAGAATGAAGCAGCTGTACAGGGTGCCATTTGAGAGGAACAGTGTCAGGGTCAAGGATCTGTACCATGATTATGTGCAGGTATGTGTCACTTTACTTTACATACTATATATTGTGATGTGGGAATGAGAGTTTATGCTGCCACCTGCCCTGCCTGTAGCTTGTAGTTTTTGTCTATACTCACCCAACCCAGCCCCTACTTGTGTGAAAATATAGACATTGTAGTTACTGTATGTGTTTTCAGTAACACTATTCAATATTTTCTGTTACAGACAGTTCTGGAGTTTGATGCCGCCGAACTGCCGCATGAGTTCATCTACGTGGATGAGGCAGGCTTCAATCTGGCCAAAACCAGGTGTCGGGGCCGTAACGTAGTTGGACAAAGGGCTGTTGTAAATGTCCCTGGGCAGCGTGGGGGAAATATCACCTTGTGTGCTGCAATTAGTGTCCAAGGAGTCCTGCATCATCATGCCACTCTAGGTCCCTACAATACAGGACAGATCATTGCATTTCTAGATGCACTACATGCAGTTGTGCAGGACAGACCACAGCAGCCCAGGTTTGTTGTCATCTGGGATAATGTTAGTTTCCACCGGGCTGCTCTGGTCCGAGATTGGTTCAACAACCATAATCATTTCACAGTTTTATACCTGCCCCTTTACAGCCCCTTTCTAAATGCAATCGAGGAATTATTTTCAGCGTGGCGGTGGAAAGTATATGATCGGCAACCACATGCTCGCATGACTCTTCTGCAAGCAATGGAAGAGGCATGTGGAGACATTGAGGTGGGATCAATCCAAGGGTGGATTCGGCACACAAGGCGATATTTTCCCCGATGCCTAGCCCGCGAGGACATCGCCTGTGATGTTGACAAGGTCTTGTGGCCAGATCCGAACAGAAGGCGTGATCCATAAGCCCCCCCGCCCCCCACCACACACACGCACACGCACACACACACGCACACACACACACAAAACAAGTATATGTTTTTTTCCCCAATAGCAATTTATCCAGTAATTGTTTAGTTTTTTTGCTTTTGTTTTGTTTTGTTGCTAAATTTGATGTTAAGTATTTCTGTAAGAATGTTTGTTTTTTTGTAAAAACTTTTTTGTAAATACTGTTTGATTACTGCAGAAATTCTACTTTTGAGTTTTACAGAAGACAATGACAATAAAATGACAATAAAAATAGAAACACAAAGACTGCAGTGTTTTATATAAAGCCCATCAGTGTGTTGCTGGTGATATGAAAGAGTAATTCAAATGTTGCTTGTGTGTATGGTTTTGTTGCAAGAATTTCATTTTTAGAAAGGAGTGTTAAGTTTTGATTGCAGTGTTTCATTTTGGCATATATGTGAGTTGTTAATCTCCAAGTGCTATGTCTGATTGGCTTGTGTGTTGAGTTTTGACATAATGAGCCAAATTCTGCAAAAAGTGTGTAAGCAATAGGCAAAAACTGTAATCAGTCTAAAGTGTGTCTGTCTGTCCGTCTGTCTGTATGTCTTGTCTGCCTGTTTCTGGCCTGAGCTGCGACTAAGCTAGTTTATTTGTCTCACTCCACAGCAGCAAACTCATAAAGCTCCCAACAGGTGGACTGGACATGACAGGTATATCTAAAGACATGCTTCCATGAGTTTCTTGGTTATGTCTGGTATTGTCTGGCATTTTCTGGTATTTCCTGAATGCATCTGCTTTTTTGTATTCTGAGTCTGTACCCTGTTAGCCTAGCTGACGCGCGACAAGTCAGAGACTTAGAGAGGCTGGTGTTAGCAAGACTAGTACCCTGTTGCCGCCAAGGTAAATGATTTACTAATAACAACTAATTTAGAAGCTCCAGCACAACAACTAAAACGTAGACAGGTGAACGCAACACAACGGAAGCTTCTTATTGGAGGACTAGGTGGAGCTTCTTATTGGAGGACTAGGTGGAGCTTTTTATTAGAGGACTAGGTGGAGCTTCTTATTGGAGGACTAGATGGAGCTTCTTATTGGAGGACTAGGTGGAGCTTCTTATTGGAGGACTAGGTGGAGCTTCTGATTGGAGGACTAGGTGGAGCTTTTTATTGGAGTACTAGGTGGAGCTTTTTATTGGAGGACTAGGTGGAGCTTCTTATTGGAGGACTAGGTGGAGCTTCTTATTGGAGGACTAGGTGGAGCTTCTTATTGGAGGACTAGGTGGAGCTTCTTATTGGAGGACTAGGTGGAGCTTCTTATTGGAGGACTAGGTGGAGCTTCTTATTGGAGGACTAGGTGGAGCTTCTTATTGGAGGACTAGGTGGAGCTTCTTATTGGAGGACTAGGTGGAGCTTCCGACATACTGCTTACATCTATCCAGTCTTCAGATCAACAAGAGGGCGTCATTGAGGGCAGATGGAAGGGGTTTGGAATGTAGCCCAGGACAGTGTAGTCTGCAGTGTAATGTAATGTAATGTATTGTATAGTTATCCACCTTGCTCTTGGTACTGATCTCACTGCTTTGGGAGCTGCTGCTGCTGTGATGCTTTTTGACCTTCCGGAACATTGTTCACCATGACACCAGCACTCCTCCAGCCCCCCAGCTCCCCTACAGGCAGGCACCACCTTCTGGTGAAGACAAGGGCATTTTGTTGTAACATCCCAGTACTACACAGGGCAAGTAAAGTGAATTGGCTTGTGGTCTACATAGAATGAGATGAACCCATCCACTTGGAATACAAGTTGTGAAGGCAGTGATACATGTATTACTAAGTTATTACAAGATTGTGTGTGATCATGGGACCAACAGCTGCCACACAGTGAATGCAAACTATTCAAGTCCTGCATACTATCACTCCCACCATCACAACTCAAGAACTTTGTCCACTTTATTCATAATAACAGGCTATGGCACACGTGCACTTTCTCTTGATCCACAAGGCTGCGCGCCTATGCCTGAAATGATGTCTGGAGTCGGCTGGGCCTCAATGAAAGACCCTTGTCAATTGGCAAACTTTGTCAATGAATGCCCCGTGTAATGGAAACCGTTGCTAGATTAAACAATGTACCCCACCCACACCCGTATCGACGTATCGGCTCACGCTCAAAATGATCGTGTATTTTTACAGAAAGTGGCAAACTGGAGCACTAGGCACAAATACACAGGGCATACCTCAGTTTGGAACTTGTTCTATGCCGCTGGGCTGGGCTGGGGCTGGGGCTGGGGATGGCTGGCCAGTTTAGAGCAGTTTTGGGTTGTTGTTCATCAAAGGAGCGGGGCTGGGGTTCTTTCTGTGTAGGCAAGACTCGCATTGACACTTCACTTCCTTTGCAGCTCCAGCCAACAACACTTAAAGGGGAAGCAACTTAGTTACAATTGTATCAATATTTGTAACAAAGCATCAACATGAATGGATACTTCTGTTCCACGTGCCACCAACACGAGTCTATAGTGTGACGCTGCTTTTTATAGTGATTGAATTGAGCGCTAAAACTAAAAGCTCTAATTAGCAAATGTATGTTCAGTATCTATCAATCAAAATACAAAAACGTTTTGTAAGATGAGCAAATAATGTAATTACGTCGGAACAAATTATGGGATGGTTTTCTTTCCATGTGATGCTCTTATCATATAGGTGCAGGGCAGGAGGTGTGTATTACCACTTGCCATTCAAAGGATGTCCAGATTTAGTACGAGTTTTGCATTAAATTAAAACTAGGTGTATAAGTAGTGTACCTGCAATTGTGCCACAAAAGTACTATGCAATCATGGGATGGTTTTCTTTCCCAGTAATGCTCTTATCATAGAGGTGCAGGGCGGGAGGTGGGAATTCAAAGAGAGGAAAATCATGGTAGGTTCTCGTGGCCCTTCTAAGAATTTAACATTTTAAAATGTCTCCATCTGAACATGTATGTTTTGTAAAGTGGGTAACACTATAGGCTAACACTTGCAGGTATAATGCTTTACAACCAGTTGCATGTTTTGTGACCCTATGACCCTACACTGTGCTTGTGGATCAGCTGAGACACCTCACAGGAGATGTCGAGGAGTTGGAAGCTACAGAAAATACACATTTACATTTTAGTCATTTAGCAGACCCTCTCATCCAGAGCGACTTACAGTAAGTGCACTCATCTTAAGATAGCTAGGTGGGACAATCACATATCATAGTCATGGTAAGTACATATTTTCTCAATAAAGTAGCTATCAGCAAAGTCAGAGATAGTAAGGGGGGTGGGGGGTGTGGGGAGTAAAGTGTGGGTGTTAGTTCATGAAAGCCATTGTTGTTTTTAATCTTCAAAAACATCACACTGGTCCATGAGGTTGGCATGGTGGAGGTAAGCAGGTATTCTGTTGTAATCTGGGCCTTGTACATTAGGTACCAAATGGAAGAAATGAACTGAAACAGGGAGGGACTACATTTTCTGTTGCAAATGTGACCGGACCTCCAACACAACAGTAGTGATTGCATCAGCATACATGTCATAATGGGTTGGCAATCTACTAATGGATGACAGAGAAACATGGATGAAAAACACTGCAGTTTCTCAACAATCTCACACATCACAATTATTCACTGGGCCAAAAATCTTCTCCAGCAGGTGTCATTGTTTTGTTTCTTTTGCTCATCAAGCGAGGAGTTTTTGTATGGAGGTCAATGAGAGTGTGTTGAATTTGGTCAACAAACACATTTTATGGCCTATTTGCTACATGAGGTTTATTTGATTGAATATAAGTTTCGTAATGCTGAAGTTGTTATGAGTGTACTGATATAAGTAGGACGTGACATCCTGGCAACTTTGAAAAAAACAAACACTTTAGGCTATATCAAAGTTGTCTGGCAATGGCTATGCATATTCATGACATGAGGCTAGTAGCGTAGCATCTCTGTCCATTGAATACAAGCAGTTGACGTGAACAACCCTCATCGAATATTCAAAAACAATATTAAAATAATGAGACGTGGACCTCCCGAGTGGCGCAGCGGTCTAAGGCACTGCATCGCAGTGCTAGAGGCGTCACTACAGACCCGGGTTCGATCACAACCGGCCGTGATCGGGAGTCACATAGGGCGGCGCACAATTTGGCCCAGCGTTGTCCGGGTTAGGGGAGGGTTTGGCCAGTGGGCTTTACTTGGCTCACCGCGCTCTAGCGACTCCTTGTGGCGGGCCGGGTACCTGCAGGCTGACCTCAGGTGAACAGTGTTTAATTTTTACATTTGAGTCATTTAGCAGACGCTCTTATCCAGAGCAACTTACAGTTAGTGAGTGCATACATTTTTTCATACTGTCCCCCCGTGGGAATCGAACCCACAACCCTGGCGTTGCAAGTGCCATGCTCTACCAACTGAGCTACAGTTTCCTCTGACACATTGGTGTGGCTGGCTTCTGGGTTAAGCGGGCGGGTGTTAAGAAGCGCAGTTTGGCGGGTCATGTTTCGGAGGACGCACGACTCGACCTTCGCCTCTCCCGAGCCCATTGGGGGAGTTGCAGTGATGAGACAAGATTGAAAAAGGGGGTAAAATACAAAAACTGTATAATAATGAGATGTATCCTCCAATCCAAAGAGAGGAATAGGCGGGAGCTTGACAGACACTTTGTGGACAAAGACTCCCATTGTTAGGGCGGAGAGTATCTTGTCAGTATATCAATAAATCTTTGCCAGTATCCACTTGCCTCTTTCAATGGCCCCTGAGCGAATAAATATTGAAACCATCACACAAAACATGTACGCTGAAATATTTTAAGGAAGGTCTCTGCCTTGCTTCTTTAATTGTATTATTTAATTGACAGGCCTGTAATGTATTGTAATGTAACTAAAAATGCTGTTTATCACTAACAGTTATAGAGACTCAAATAAGTGGACGGTGGACATGGAGATTTACCAGAACAGACTAGAGGTCATGCTACAAGTCAGGGCTGTGTGGATTTCAAAAATGGTAAAAAACCTCATGGTGACAGTGTACTGTAAGACTGCCAACATCTGCCTGGAGACCAGGACGATGTCTTATGAGGACGAGAGTACATGGGACGAGTTTCTGAAGGAGATGGTGGAGCTGGCTGTACAGCGCCTCTATGATGCCCTTAACCCTGTCAAACCAGAGACATATTGCTGCGTTCACAAGCTAGTCGGAACTAGAAAACTCTGACATTTCTGGCTTAATTCGTTGAACGCGGCATGTTTATAACTACAAGTTAGCAAGTCAGAAATGTTTTGCTGTGCTGGAGACGGCTATATCGGTCTGCTAATACAGGACTATTAAAGGCCCAGGCACTACTTTTGTGAAACATAAAAAAAATATATATATATATATTTTTTATGATTTTTGAGGGGGTGCTGCAGCACCGTCAGCAGGCCTACTTCCTGCAGCTATGCCTAGTTCCGACTAGCACGTGAACGGGGAAATATGTGCATCCTGAAAGGTTAAAGAACACACACACATACACACATACACACAAATCACTACATAATAATATAATATGCCATTTAGCAGACGCTTTTATCCAAAGCGACTTACAGTCATGCGTGCATACATTTTTGTGTATGGGTGGTCCCGGGGATCGAATCCACTACCTTGGCGTTACAAGCGCCGTGCTCTACCAGCTGAGCTACAGAGGACCACACCAAAAGTATGTGGACACCTGCTCGTCGAACATCTCATTCCAAAATCATCATGGGCATTAATATGGAGTTGGTCCCCCCCTTTGCTGCTATAACAGCCCCCACTCATCTGGGAAAGTTTTCCACTAGATGTTGTAACATTGCTGCAGGGACTTGCTTCCATTCAGCCACAAGAGCATTAGTGAGGTTGGGCACTGATGTTGGGCGATTAGGCCTGGCTCGCAGTCGGCGTTCCAATTCACCCCAAAGGTGTTTGATTCGGGTTGAGGTCAGGGCTCTGCGCAGTCTAGTCAAGTTCTTCCACACCGATCTCGACAAACCATTTCTGTATGGACCTCGCTTTGTGCACGGGGGCATTGTCATGCTGAAACAGGAAAAGGCCTTCCCAAACTGTTGCCACAAAGTTGGAAGCAAAGAATCGTCTAGAATGTCATTGTATGCTGTAGCATTAAGATTTCCCTTCACTGGAACTAAGGGGCCTAGCCCAAACCATGAAAACCAGCACCAGCCCATTATTCCTCCCCCACCATACTTTACAGTTGGCACTATGCATTGGGGCAGGTAGCGTTCTCCTGGCATCCGCCAAACCCAGATTCGTCCATCTGACTGCCAGATGGTGAAGCGTGATTCATCACTCCAGAGAACGCGTTTCCACTGATCCAGAGTCCAATGGCGGTGAGTTTTACACCACTCCAGCCGACACTTGGCATTGCTCATGGTGATCTTAGGCTTGTGTGCGGCTGCTCGGCCATGGAAACCCATTTCATGAAGCTTCCGACGAACAGTTATTGTGCTGATGTTGCTTCCAGAGGCAGTTTGGATCCCCATTAGCCGACGCCAATGGCGACAGCTAGTCTTACCGGGGTCTGACACATACTGGGGGCCTCAAACAGATGTTGTATTTTGAGAACGAATGCTGTAGTGTCTGTGTTGCTGTAGTTCTGATGGACTTCTATACGTCTGTCTGTTCTCCCATCTGTTTTCCTCTCTCCCTGAAGGTAGTGCTCTGAACCATCTGAACTGTGGCAGGCCAGCATGCCCAGGCCTGTGTGCAAGCTGCAGATCAGTGTGGGGCAGATGTGCTGGACCTCTGGACTCTCATGCAGAAAGATGGACAGGTGAAACAAAAAATGGAGCGCTTGTAATTTTGATGTTACTGTTGCTCAGTTAGGCCCGAGTTAACACTAGTATAGTGATGTTGCTCAGTTAACACTAGTATAGTGATGCATGGTTGTAACTTCCTTTATTAACAAGTAGTGCAGTATCAATGTGTCATTTATTGAATAAAGGTGTTCCTCTTTCCACAGGACTTCACAGGCTACCTCTCAGATGGGCTGCATCTCTCTGAGAAGGAGAACTAGTTTGTGGCTACCTCGCAGATGGGCTGCATCTCTCTGAGAAGGAGAACCAGTTTGTGGCTACCTCTCAGATGGGCTGCATCTCTCTGAGAAGGAGAACCAGTTTGTGGCCCAGCACCTGTGGAGGCTCCTGGAGGGCAGGGTGGAGGAGCTGCCCATCATCCTGCGTTACTGGGGAGACGTAGACCCAAAACACCCAGAGAGCAGTCTGCTGTGTGACTGACGGCCCACAGGCCAAGTGAGAGGGGAAGGGCAGAGAGATTAACCGTCAGGTCCACCCTTCCACCCAATTTTATGTCCACTGATTGGAAGGGATTGGTTCTATAAGGGGTAGTACGTGCTAGTAATGGGATAGGCCAGGGGGTATAGGACTGGAAAGGAGTGAAATCCGTCTTCATGCCTGAAATGTATAATGAATGGTTCAACACATTTCTTTGTAAAAACCATATAAAATTTTTATTTTTTACTTTGTAAAATGTTTAGATTTCCTGAGACCTGTGTTGAAACACAAAATAAATATTATTTATTTGTTTTAATTCTTGTTTCACTGTAAGCATGAGGGGCACATCTCAAGTTGGTGTACACATTTATTATCATAGAGGCATTTATTTATTCATCCAGATAATTTAATAAACCCTGAAAATGAAACATAGGACACATGCAGAATATGGAGTCAAGGAGATTCCCTCACATCTCCTACAGAGCTAATACTATGACGTAGGTACACTACCAGCCAAAAGTTCGGACACACTCATTCAAGGGTTTTTCTTAATGTTTACATTGTAGAATAATAGTGAAGACTTCAAAACTGTGAAATAACACATATGGAATCATGTAGTAACCAAAAAATAGCCACCCTTTGTCTTGACAGCTTTGCACACTCTTGGCATTCTCTCAACCAGCTTCATGAGGTAGTCACCTGAAATGCATTTCAATTAACAGGTGTGCCTTCTTTAAAGTTAATTTGCTTCTTAATCCGTTTGAGCCAATCAGTTGTAAATTTAATAGCCCTATTTGGTAAAAGACCAAGTCCATTTTATGGCAAGAACAGCTCAAATAAGCAAAGAGAAACGACAGTCCATCATTACTTTAAGATGTCCTTACACAGCTCTCTGGTCTTGGCCATTGTGGAGAGGTTGGAGTCTGTTTGATTGAGTGTGTGGACAGGTGTCTTTTATACAGGTAACGAGTTCAAACAGGTGCAGTTAATACAGGTAATGAGTGGAGAACAGGAGGGCTTCTTAAAGAAAAACTAACAGGTCTGTGAGAGCCGGAATTCTTACTGGTTGGTAGGTGATCAAATACTTATGTCATGCAATAAAATGCAAATTAATTATTTAAAAATCATTCAATGTGATTTTCTGGATTTTTGTTTTAGATTCCGTCTCTCACAGTTGAAGTGTACCTATGATAAAAATTACAGACCTCTACATGCTTTGTAAGTAGGAAAACCTGCAAAATCGGCAGTGTATCAAATACTTGTTCTCCCCACTGTATATGCTAAAGATGTATCCAGACCATATTTGTCCAAAGTCATAGCAAAGCTGCAGAATGCCCTTGATCCACAAGCAAGTGACATATTCCCCCTTTCATCAGAATTAACATATAGAAGTACTTATTGCCTAATATACAGGAAACAGTGAACAGACAATATAAAACAATATTTTAGCGCAACGTTCCACAAGCCGATATGTATTCATGTATCATTGGCACACAAATATTCCAACACCAAGTGGTGCTTAGGACAACACTTCCCATGCCAGCTGGACAACACTTCCCACAGGCGACATTAGTAAGCATGAGTTCCAGCTGGGTGATAGTGACAATCCCTTTGCTTACAGTACATATAGTGCCGTCAGAAAGTATTCACACCCCTGGACTTTTTCCACATTTTGTTGTGTTACAGCCTGAATTTAAAATTGATTCAATTGAGATTTGTCGTCACTGGCCTACACACAAGTTAATTATTTTTATTTTACAAATTAATTAAATGACCAGCTGAAATGTCTTGAGTCAATAAGTATTCAACCTCTGTTATGGCAAGCCTAAATAAGTTCAGGAGTAAAAATTTGCTTAACAAGTCACATAAGACTCATTGTGTGCTATAATAGTATTTAACATGATTTTTGAATGACTACCTCATCTCTGTACCCCACACATACAGTTAGTTATCTGTAAGGTCCCTTAGTCGAGCAGTGAATTTAAAACACAGATTCAACCACAAAGACCAGGGAGGTTTTCCAATGCCTCACAAAGAAGGGCACCTATTGGTAGATGGATTAAAAAAAAAAAAAAAGAGACATTGAATATCCCTTTGAGCATGGTGAAGTTATTAATTACACTTTGGATGGTGTATCAATATATCCAGTCACTACAAAGATACAGGTGTCCTTCCTAACTCAGTTGCCGGAGAGGAAGGGAACCACTCAGGGGTTTCAAAATGAGGCCAATGGTGATTAAAACAGTTAAGAGCTTAATGGCTGTGATAGGAGAAAACTGTGGATGGATCAACAACATTGTAGTTACTCCACAATACTAACCTAATAGACGGAGTGAAAAGAAGCCTGTACAGAATCCAAATATTTCAAAACTTGCATCCTGTTTGCAACAAGGCAATAAAGTAATAATGCAAAAAATGTGATAAAGCAATTAACTTTCTGTCCTGAATACAAAGTGTAATGTTTGGGGCAAATCCAATACAACACATTACGGAGTACCACTCTCCATATTTTCAAGCTTAGTGGTGGCTGCATCATGTTATGGGTATGCTTGTAATCGTTAAGGACTGAGGAGTTTTTCAGGATAAAAAAAAGAAATGGAATGGAGATAAACACAGGCAAAATCCTAGAGGAAAACCTGGTTTAGTCTGCTTTCCCACAGACACTGGGAGATGAATTCACCTTTTAGCAGGACAATAACCTAAAACACAAGGCCAACTAACTCTTGCTTACCAAGAAGACTGTGAATGTTCCTGAGTGGCTGAGTTATAGTTGACTTAAATCTGCTTGAAAATCTATGGCAAGACCTGTAAATGGTTGTCTAGCAATGATCAACAACCAATTTGACAGAGCTTGAAGAATTTTGAAAATAATAATAATAATAATAATAATAATAATAAGCAAATGTTGCAGAATCCAGGTATGGAAAGCTCTTAAGAGACTTACCCAGAAAGACTCACAGCTGTAAATCGCTGCCAACGGTGATTCTAACATGTATTTACTCAGGGGGTTGAATACCTATTCAAGATATTAGTGTTTTATTTTTCATGAATTATTTTCTTTGGACAAGAGTATTTTGTGTAGATCGTTGACATAAAATGACAATTAAATCCATTTTAATCCCACTTTGTAACAACAACATGTGGAAAAGGTGAAGGGGTGTGAATACTTTCTGAAGCCACTGTATAACTACAGAAATAAGGCTAGATTAAAAAAATTACTCAACTTCTGAAATAAGGCACTAGTCTTTTTTTCGGATACAAAAGTTGGTCTACAAACAATATCTGAATGCATAGAAAAGGTATTGACTAAAGAAATAGAATAAAACAGCACTGCTCTAATGGTCCCTCATCTTCCAATGGGTTGAGTAAATTGTCAAATACATGACTTGCATTAATTGCAAACTTTGGGTTGAAGATGACAAGGGTAATATGCCATAAGAAGCATTGTACCAGCATAAGGCCATACACAACAAATATCAAAACGGTTCATCATTATTTCACTACAAATGAAACGGAACCAATACTTCAGTACAGTGGAGACATATACAGTAGAACAGATAAATTGATGTTAGGTAGGCCTAGGTCCAATGAAGCGCTCCGATTTTACCAGGTATCCTGCCCAGTCGAACTACTAGTCTGGACCTCTGTAGCTTCGTTTACACAGGTGGCCCAATTCTGATGTTCTGCTCAATTATCGGCAAAAGATCTGATCTGATTGGTCAAAAGACCAATTATTGGCAAAAGATCAGAAATAGACTGCCCGTGTAAACACAGCCGGACACCAGTGCCAGTTTGGTTTCAATTACTAAAAAATAATGCCTTCCTCTGCAACATTATAACCTTTTTAACAATAACCTTTGGCATCCATTTCACAGCTGAATTACTTTGTCGAATGGCAACATTACATCAGTAGTTATGGTAGGCGTCACCAACATAATTGCCCAAATTTTACAGAGATGAAGTTCAAACTTGAAGACAGACTATGACATGGTGATAAGGAAACATATTCACAACCATTTAACGAGGTGAAAAACCAGGCAATATCAGAAATAAAGGAAAACTATTAAAAACATTGTCTTACTGACGTGACAATGAAAAGGTGACATAACATTAAAAAACGGTCCAATGCAGTCATTTTTATCTCAATATCAAATCATTTCTGGCTAACAATTAAAGTTGCAATATGTAACTTTTTGGGTGACCCATCCAAATTCACATAGAAATGTGTGTTATAGATCTATCATCATTGAAAGCAAGTCTAAGAAGCGGTAGATCTGTTCTATATGCGCTATTTCTATGCTTCTATGCTTCCTGTTCTTATGTTTCGTTTTTGCGTCTTACAGCTGCAAATACATTTTAATTAAAATGGTGAAAAATAAACACATATAGCTTCTTAGCAAATAGCAATTTCTCAAGCAAGAATTTTGTTAGGACTGTCGGGGAGTGATCTGAGTAGGGAGGGGAAAACTGAAAACTAGCTGTTATTGGCAGAGAGGTTTGGAACTCTTTCTTATTGGACTATTAACTAATTAACTGCCTGGTGATGTCACCTGGCAGGCCAAAATCATCCTACCAAATCAGGCAGTCTTTTTAAACAGCTCTTACACCATAAGGGCATCATTTCCACAATTTCACAGTATTATTCCAACCTCAGAGTGGAAATAAATATAAAACACAGGAAAATCACATTTGCACTGGACCTTTAAACATTTAAAATAACACATTTCTCAGTTCTTTGACCTTAGCATGATTCCTTTTGACACTGGCACTCTAACCCACCCACATGCCTAACCAATAGCCATACAGTTGTGGCAGTGGTAAATCAACTGGCCCAACTGTCAATCAATCAACCCTTTCTGACAGCTGTCAGTCAAAAATAACAAAATAACACCTCCAAAGACTGTCTGGCCTGTATCGGAGTGAGCAGTGCCAAATAAAGCACTTGGCTTTGACTCTTGAAACTAACAAGGCACAAATATCCCCAAATATATAACAGTGTGTGTTTGCATGTACATGCGTGTGCGCGTGTATGTGAGTACATATACAAACATGTTCCCTCAGCACTGGTTCTCTTTATTGTCCACCACGCAGGTTTGCCTCATCGTGGCGGCCCGATCCAGCTGTGCTCCGCTCTGCCGTCAGGTCCACGTAAGACGACTTGGTGGCGTTGGAGCCTCCGGGTGGAGGGAAGTCGTCTTCGTCCGGGTCGAGGTGATAATCGCAGCTGGGATCCTCCTGGATGGTGGCCATCCACGAGCCCGCCCCCATAACCCCACTCCCCAGGGCAGGGCCAGAAGCCAAGCCTGGGGCTGGGGTACTGCTGCTGCCTGAGGCAGATGGGCCCGTTGGGGGTAGAGGAGGGAGAGAGTGTGGAAGGATCCGAGTGCTGGAGCAGATTGGCGGCGTAGGTGGCTTGACGATGTGGACAGAGGCCGTCTCGAGGCTGCTCAGCATCTCTTCGTTCTGAGGGGGGGGGGGAGGAGGACAGCAGGGTCAGGGTTGTGTTTGACTAATCCACTGCCTGACTGTACCTGGGATCCAATCCTTTTGAACTCAATTCAGTTTATCTTTATTTTCCAAGTAAATTGACTGAGTTGAAATGGAACGGGCCCAGTCTGGTCACACCATTACAACTGAACAGCCTAAAAACAACAACTCAGACACTCCGGCTCCAAACAACAAGGTCTACACTCGGCCTCTTACAAAGACAACACGGTGCACTCTTCTCCTCACACACATCGCGCATCCTTGTGACACTCCGACAGCCCCGCCCCCCCAACACCTCACCCACTCACCTGAGGGTGGAGCTCTATTAAATACAGGTACCTCCACCATCCGTTGCAGTTCCGCGAGGGGCTAAGGCAAATGGAACATGTGACGGAACAGGTAATTGTAACCCAAATATCCCAGTATACTATTATTTATACAGGGAAGTCACATTGAGAATTATTTTTCAAGTGAGCCCTGTGAGGCCATCAGAGGTTCTACCGTCTGGAACTCATTCATGCTGCTTCTGGGCCAACTACTGCCCAGTTCCAAATCCATTCCTTAAACCCCTGCCCCTAGGCACTTCTTGTAAATCTGAAAATATTTGATGGGTAATAGCATATTACGCATCAAATATCATATCACACCAACTTGCCCTCTGATAATCTTGGTGGAATCTTCACCCCATACTTCTTATACCTATGCAGTTCTTTCAGATCTAGGGGATCCGGCCTTGGGTCAGGCTCATATTATCCATGCTGCAATAGTCTATGTGCCGGGGGGCTAGGGTCAGTCTGATATATCTGGTGTTACTCTCCTGTCTTATTCGGTGTCCTGTGTGAATTTAAGTATGCTCCCTCTAATTCTCTCGCTCTCCCTCTCCTCCCGGAGGACCATGCCTCAGGACTACCTGGCCTGATGACCCCTTGCTGTCCCCAGTTCAATTTGAAGAAAGAAGTTCAACAACAGGTTGACAATGAGTGGAAAACATGGTCCTTGTGGATGTTGTTTCAAAGCCTAACACAACTAAATGGACAGCGCTTTCTAAGGTGATGATTAATTCAAAACATCCATACGCATATTAGAGATTATGCATACGCATACTGTAAATAAGCCCTAGCCCCAAAAAAAACATGAATTATACTGAACAAAAATATAAACGCAACATGTAAAGTGTTGGTCTCATGTTTCATGAGCTGAAATAAAAGATCACAGATATTTTCCATACGCACAAAAAGCTAATTTCTCTCCAATTTTGTGATCAAATGTATTTACATCCCTGTTATTGAGCATTTCTCCTTTGTCAAGATAATCCATCCACCTGACAGGTGTGGCATATCAAGAAGCTGATTAAACCGCATGATCATTACACAGGTGCACCTTGTGCTGGGCACAATAAAAGGCCACTCTAAATGTGCAGTTTTGTCACACAACACAATGCCACAGATCTCAAGTTGACCAGCTGCTGGTAAGCTTTCTTGACTTAGGACTCTATTTAATCCGTATCGCAGAAGTTCAGTTTTACAGCGTGATTGAAATTTAAAGTCTATGTTCCTTCGTTAGCGGAGACTGCATTCACGGTAAACACTGCATATGTCGGCTCAATCGGAAATTACATTCAGATTTCTATCACCCTAACCTTTGTCTAACCAGCTAAATGGCTGCTCTTAGCAAAAATGTGTTTTGAGTTACCTTTCTATCTAATAGGATGTTAGTTTACAATTCCTCTTCCAATTATAATGTGGGGAGGTCAAAATAATAAAACTATCTACCAAATCTATTCATTTAAAAATGTTGATTACTTCTCCTTGCCATTCACTTGATGATCAAATCAAATTTTATTTGTCACATGCGCCGAATACAACAGGTGTAGATCTTACCGTGAAATGCTTAGTTACAAGCCCTTAACCAACAATGCAGTTCAAGAAATAGAGTAACACAATAAAATTACATAACAATAACAAGGCTATATACAGGGGTTACCGGTACCGAGTCAATGTGCGGGGGTACAGGTTAGTCAAGGTAATCTGTACATGTAGGTAGGGGTAAAGTGACTGTGGTAAAGTGATAATAAACAGCGTAGCAGCAGTGTGAAAACAAATAAGACAAAAACTGTTTTTTTTGCTAACATATGATGGTGGTCCCTGGGTCGCCGGCTTTCCTGGACAGGGGTCCCTGGGCAAGAAAAGGTTGAAGACCCCTGATCAAGGGGGTTGATTTGTAATTAAGCAAATATATCTGCAGGTGATATGCTCTGTAGTAGTAGGACTTCTCTAAAAGGGATAGCGTGTTATAGTGAGTGTGACTTCAACGTTCAAACCTAGAACATGTGGTCAGTGGTGAACATGAGAGGGCATAGGACTTACGTTGGGGAAGTACATGGCCTAGTTATGACATGACAGACTTACGCTGGCGAAGTACTCCTTCTCCAGATTTCTATCCTACAGAAACAAAACAGTAAGCATGCCATTAGGTGTACCAGCAATAGACAATGTGTCTTAATCAACCATGCAAGAGGTGGGCTTTAAAAGCCAAATACTTAATAGTAATATATATTATTATTATTATTATTATTATTATTATTATTATAAAACATGCCATTTAGAAGACTCTTTTATCCAAAGCGACTTACAGTCATGCGTGCATACATTTTTCACGTATAGGTGGCCCTGGGAATCGAACCAACTATCCTGGCGTTGCAAGCGCCGTGCTACACCAGCTGAGCTACAGAGGACAACAACATGTATAGACAGACAGGCTCAGTAAGGCGTCTCACCACACAGTGCACCAGGATGCTGAGAGGGATCCAGAAGACCAGAGAGAACACCACCACTGAGCCCACAATGTTGTCTGCCAGGAACTTCCCTACAAGAGGGAAACAGAGAGAAAAAGACTTCAACTCCAACCTGCCTTTCAAATAACCTCCAAGCTAGTCCAACTAGACCTCCAAGCTAGTCCAACTAGACCTCCAAGCTAGTCCAACTAGACCTTCAAGCTAGTCCAACTCCAACAGTGCATTTCAACTCACTGAACGTGTTGATGTCCAGCTTGTCGATGAAATCCCACAACCTCTCGATCACATCCTGGACATGCTTCATGCATTTGCCCTGAAACAAACACAGACAAATCAATATATCATAATTGTCAGCCAATTTAAATAGAAAGTGGTAACTCTCCCTGTAGGACCAATACGATCCATTCAAAATGTTCTCTTCATGTAAAAATGTATTTTATTATTATTTTTAAATGTATTTACTGAAGTGAAATGTGTTGAAACTATGAATACAACCCAGGTCCATTCAGTGTGAGTAGAGGTGAAAGGTCAGTGCTAAAGGAAGAGGTCAGTCACTCACGCCCTCGTCACAGAAGCCCACAGTGCAGGGTTTCCCCTTGCGCAGGTACAGGAAGTTCCGGTCCTTTTTTACGAAGGGAGTGCAGGTGCCATCTTTGTCCCGGCAGCAGACCTTACAAGAGTTGTCCGTCTCTGGGAGAGTAAAGAGAGGTCAGTTTAGGTTCAAAGACAACCTGGTGCTATACTATTATCTGTATCTTTCTCCGAATGTAATTTACAGTGCCTTCAGAAAATATTAATATCCCTTGACTTATTCCACATTTTGTTGTGTTACAGCCTGAATTCAACATTCATTAAATAGATTTTTTTCCTCACCCATTTACACACAATACCCCATAATGACAAAGTGAAAACATGTTTTTAGAAATTATAGCAAATGTATTGAAAATTAAATGCAGAAATATCTCATTTACATAAGTATTCAGACCCCTTTGTTATGACCCTACAAATTGAGCTCAGGTGCATCCAATTTCCTTTAATCATCCTTGATATGTCACTACAACTTCATAGGAGTCCACCTGTGGCCAATGCATTTGTTTGGACATGGTTTAGAAAGAAACACACCTGTCTATCTATACAAGGTCCCACAGTTGGAAGTGCATGTCAGAGCAGAAACTATTCCATGAAGTCCAAGGAACTGTCTGTAGATCTCTGAGATAGAATTGTGATGAGGCATATACAGTTGAAGTCAGAAGTTTACATACACCTTAGCCAAATACATTTAAACTCAGTTTTTCACAATTCCTGACATTTAATCCTACTAAGAATTCCCTGTCTTAGGTCAGTTAGGATCACCACTTTATTTTTAAGAATGTGAAATGTCAGAATAATAGTAGAGAATGATTTATTTCAGCTTTTATTTATTTCATCACATTCCCAGTGGGTCAGAAGTTTACATACACTCAATTAGTATTTGGTAGCATTGCCTTTAAATTGTTTAACTTGGGTCAAATGTTTCGGGTAGCCTTCCACAAGCTTCCAACAATAAGTTGGGTGAATTTTGGCCCATTCCTCCTGACAGAGCTAGTGTAACTGAGTCAGGTATGTAGGCCTCCTTGCTCGCACACGCTTTTTCAGTTCTGCCCACACAATTTCTTTAGGATTGAGGTCAGGGCTTTGTGATGGCCACTCCAATACCTTGACTTTGTTGTCCATAAGCCATTTTGCCACAACTTTGGAAGTATGCTTGGGGTCATTGTCCATTTGGAAGACCCATTTGCGACCAAGCTTTAACTTCCTGACTGATGTCTTGAGATGTTGCTTCAATATATCCACATAATTTTCCTTCCTCATGATGCCATTTATTTTGTGAAGTGCACCAGTCCCTCCTGCAGCAAAGCACCCCCACAGCATGATGATGCCACCCCCTTGCTTCACGGTTGGGATGGTGTCCTTCGGCTTGCAAGCATCTCCCTTTTTCCTCCAAACATAACGATGGTCATTATGGCCAAACAGTTCTATTTTTGTTTCATCAGACCAGAGGACATTTCTCCAAAAAGTACAATCTTTGTCCCCATGTGCAGTTGCAAACCGTAGTCTGGCTTTTTTAATGGCGGTTTTGGAGCAGTGGCTTCTTCCTTGCTGAGCGGCCTTTCAGGTTATGTCGATATAGCACTCGTTTTACTGTGGATATAGATACTTTTGTACCTGTTTCCTCCAGCATCTTCACAAGGTACTTTGCTGTTGTTCTGGGATTGATTTGCACATTTCGCACCAAAGTACGTTCATCTCTAGGAGACAGAACGTGTCTCCTTCCTGAGCGGTATGACGGCTGCGCGGTCCCATGGTGTTTATACTTGCGTACTATTGTTTGTTCAGATTAACGTGGTACCTTCAGGCGTTTGGAAATTGCTCCCAAGGATGAACCAGACTTGTGGAGGTCTTGGCTGATTTCTTTTGATTTTCCCATGAGAGGCACTGAGTTTGAAGGTAGGCCTTGAAATACATCCACAGGTACACCTCCAATTGACTCAAATGATGTAAATTAGCCTATCAGAAGCTTCTAAAGCCATGACATCATTTTCTGGAATTTTCCAAGCTGTTTAAAAGGCACAGTCAACTTAGTGTATGTAAACTTCTGACCCACTGGAATTGTGATACAGTGAATTATAAGTGAAATAATCTGTCTGTAAACAATTGTTGGAAAAATTACTTGTGTCATGCACAAAGTAGATGTCCAAACCGACTTGCCAAAACTATAGTTTGTTAACAAGACATTTGTGGAGTGGTTGAAAAACGGGTTTTAATGACTCCAACCTAAGTGTATGTAAACTTCCGACTTCAACTGTATCTGGGAAAGGGTATAAAACAACTTCTAGAGTGTGGAAAGTTTTCAAGAGTACAGTGGTCTCCATCATTGGGAAATTGAAAACATTTGGAACTATCCAGACTCTGATTAGAGCTGGCCATCTGACCAAACAGCCTGCGGGCAAGAAGGACCTTGGTCAGGGAGGTGACCAAGAACCCAATGACCACTCTGACAGAACTACAGAGTTCCTTGGCTGAGATGGGAGAACCTGCCAGAAGGACAACAGTCTCTACAGCAACCCCCCCAAAACAAGCCACATTACAGCATACCTGGAGTTTGCAAAAAGCCATGTGAAAGACTCAGAGCATAAGACAAAAGATTTTGTGGTCTGATTGAAAAATGTAACTCTTTGGCCTGAATGCAAAGCTCCATGTCTGGAGAAAACCAGGCACTGCTCATCACCCGTCTAAAACCATCCCTACCGTGAAGCATGGTGGTGGCAGCATCATGCTATGGGGATGACTGGTAAGGATAGAGGGAACAATGAATGGAGCCAAATTCAGGGAAATCCTTGATGAGAATCTGCTTCAGAGTGTAAACAACCTTAGACTGTGGCAAAGATTTACTTTCCAACAGGACAATGACCCCAAGCATACAGCCAAAGCAACGCTGGAATGGCTTCAGAACAACAATGTGAAAGTCTTTGAGTGGCAAAGCCAAAGGCCAGACTTGTATCCCATTGAAAATCTGTGGAAAGACTTGAAGATTCTGTTCACCGCCACTCTCCACAACAGAGCTTAAGAAAATCTGCAAGTTAGAACGGGAGATAAGCCCCAAATCCAGATGTGCAAATCACGACTCAAAGCTGTAATCGCCACCAAAGGTGCTTCTACAAAGTATTAACTCAGTGGTGTGAATACTTATGTAAATTAGATTTCTGTATTTCATTTTCAATTAATGTCCTGAAATTTCTCTAATTTCTTTCACTTTGTCATTATAGGGTATTGTGTGTAGATGGGTGAGAAAATATATATTTAATCTATTTTGAATTCAGGCTGTAACACAACAACATGTGGAATAAGTCAAGTGGTATGAATACTTTCTGAAGGCACTGTACAGTATATTGGCAGAAATCAAATTTAAGGCTTTAGGTTTCGAACATTAATGTAAACTTGAAGCATCAAATCAAATAAAAAACAAATAACTTTAAATGCAAAGATATTGGGTCCACCCATAGAGATAGAAAACATAGACTTCAGCCTCTCTATAGTTGTATTTCTATCAGTACACCATGGTACTGTACAGTGTTGTCAGTCTAGATTGTAGCAGTGTGTCTGTGAGAGGGTTGTACCATTACAAGCACAGGGTTGCAGGTTCTGCACAGCCTCACAGAAGGTCATGCACTCCCCGTCGCTGCACCTCCCGCTGTCCACACAGATGGTATTGTCCAGAGCATTGTCTGGGGCTGGGCACTCACTGCTGTTACCTAAGGTTTTGAGAAGGTGGCGGGGAGAGAGGAAATCACAGAAATGTAGATTCTCCCTCAGTGAGTCAGTCAAATACACCAACTGATGTCTCAACAGCACGGCCTGGAGACCTATCCAGTTAGAGGATGTTAGTCCAAAATATCACTTAAGTATCTCACAAAAGTGAGTACACCCCTCACATTTTTGTAAATATTTGAGTATATCTTTTCATGTGACAACACTGAAGAAATGACACTTTGCTACAATGTAAAGTAGTGAGTGTACAGCTTGTATAACAGTGTACATTTGCTGTCCCCTCAAAATAACACAACACATAGCCAATAATGTCTAAACCGCTGGCAACAAAATTGAGTACACCCCTAAGTGAAAATGTCCAAATTGGGCCCAAAGTGTCAATATTTTCTGTGGCCACCATCATTTTCCAGCACTGCCTTAACCCTCTTGGGCTTGGATTTCACCAGAGCTTCACAGGTTGCCACTGGAGTCCTCTTCCACTCCTCCATGGCGACATCACGGAGCTGGTGGATGTTAGAGACCTTGCACTCCTCCACCTTCCGTTTGAGGATGCCCCACAGATGCTCAATATGGCCAGTCCATCAGCTTTACCCTTAGCTTCTTTAGCAAGGCAGTTGTCGTCTTGGAGGTGTGTTTGGGGTCGTTATCATGTTGGAATACTGCCCTGCGGCCCAGTCTCCGAAAGGAGGGGATCATGCTCTGCTTCAGTATGTCACAGTACATGTTGGCATTCATGGTTCCCTCAATGAACTGTAGCTCCCCAGTGCCGGCAGCACTCATGCAGCCCCAGACCATGACACTCTCACCACTATGCTTGACTGTAGGCAAGACACACTTGTCTTTGTACCCCTCACCTGGTTGCCGCCACACACGCTTGACACCATCTGAACCAAATAAGTTTATCTTGGTCTCATCAGACCACAGGACATGGTTCCAGTAATCCATGTCCTTAGTCTGCTTGTCTTCAGCAAACTGTTTGCAGGCTTTCTTGTGCATCATCTTTAGAAGAGACTTCCTTCTGGGACGACAGCCATGCAGACCAATTTGATGCGTATGGTCTGAGCACTGACAGGCTGACCCCCCACCCCTTCAACCTCTGCAGCAATGCTGGCAGCACTCATACGTCTATTTCCCAAAGACAACCTCTGGATATGACGCTGAGCACGTGCACTCAACTTCTTTGGTCGACCATGGCGAGGCCTGTTCTGAGTGGAACCTGTCCTGTTAAACCGCTGTATGGTCTTGGCCACCGTGCTGCAGCTCAGTTTCAGGGTCTTGGCAATCTTCTTATAGCCCAGGCCATCTTTATGTAGAGCAACAATTCTTTTTTTCAGATCCTCAGAGAGTTCTTTGCCATGAGGTGCCATGTTGAACTTCCAGTGACCAGTATGAGGGAGTGTGAGAGCGATGACACCAAATTTAACACAACTGCTCCCCATTCACACCTGAAACCTTGTAACACTAACGAGTCACATGACACCAGGAGGGAAAATGGCTAATTGGGCCCAATTTTGACATTTTCACTTAGGGGTGTACTCACATTGTTGCCAGCGGTTTAGACATTAATGGCTGTGTGTTGAGTTATTTTGAGGGGACAGCAAATTTACACTGTTATACAAGCTCTACACTCACTACTTTACATTGTAGCAAAGTGTCATTTCTTCAGTGTTGTCACATGAAAAGATACACTCAAATATTTACAAAAATGTGAGGTGTGTACTCACTTTTGTGAGATACTGTACATACAGTGAGGGAAAAAAGTATTTGATCCCCTGCTGATTTTGTACGTTTGCACACTGACAAAGAAATGATCAGTCTATAATTTTAATGGAAGGTTTATTTGAACAGTGAGAGACAGAATAACAAACAAAAAATCCAGAAAAACGCATGTCAAAAATGTTATAAATTGATTTGCATTTTAATGAGGGAAATAAGTATTTGACCCCCTCTCAATCAGAAAGATTTCTGGCTCCCAGGTGTCTTTTATACAGGTAACGAGCTGAGATTAGGAGCACACTCTTAAAGGGAGTGCTCCTAATCTCAGCTTGTTACCTGTATAAAAAGACACCTGTCCACAGAAGCAATGAATCAATCAGATTCCAAACTCTCCACCATGGCCAAGACCAAAGAGCTCTCCAAGGATATCAGGGACAAGATTATAGACCTACACAAGGCTGGAATGGGCTACAAGACCATCGCCAAGCAGCTTGGTGAGAAGGTGACAACAGTTGGTGCGATTATTCGCAAATGGAAGAAACACAAAAGAACTGTCAATCTCCCTCGGCCTGGGGCTCCATGCAAGATCTCACCTCGTGGAGTTGAAATGATTATGAGAACGGTGAGGAATCAGCCCAGAACTACACGGGAGGATCTTGTCAATGATCTCAAGGCAGCTGGGACCATAGTCACCAAGAAAACAATTGGCAACACACTACGCCGTGAAGGACTGAAATCCTGCAGCGCCCGCAAGGTCCCCCTGCTCAAGAAAGCACATATACATGCACGTCTGAAGTTTGCCAATGAACATCTGAATGATTCAGAGGAGAACTGGGTGAAAGTGTTGTGGTTAGATGAGACCAAAATGGGGCTCTTTGGCATCAACTCAACTCGCCGTGTTTGGAGGAGGAGGAATGCTGCCTATGACCCCAAGAACACCATCCCCACCGTCAAACATGGAGGTGGAAACATTATGCTTTGGGGGTGTTTTTCTGCTAAAGGGACAGTACAACTTCACCGCATCAAAGAGACGATGGACGGGGCCATGTACTGTCAAATCTTGGGTGAGAACTTCCTTCCCTCAGCCAGGGCATTGAAAATGGGTCGTGGTTGGGTATTCCAGCATGACAATGACCCAAAACACACGGCCAAGGCAACAAAGGAGTGGCTCAAGAAGAAGCACATTAAGGTCCTGGAGTGGCCTAGCCAGTCTCCAGACCTTAATCCCATAGAAAATCTGTGGAGGGAGCTGAAGGTTCGAGTTGCCAAAGTCAGCCTCGAAACCTTAATGACTTCGAGAAGATCTGCAAAGAGGAGTGGGACAAAATCCCTCCTGAGATGTGTGCAAACCTGGTGGCCAACTACAAGAAACGTCTGACCTCTGTGATTGCCAACAAGGGTTTTGCCACCAAGTACTAAGTCATGTTTTTCAGAGGGGTCAAATACTTATTTCCCTCATTAAAATGCAAATCAATTCATAACATTTTTTACATGCGTTTTTCTGGAGTTTTTTGTTGTTATTCTGTATCTCACTGTTCAAATAAACCTACCATTAAAATTATAGACTGATCAATTCTTTGTCAGTGGGCAAACGTACAAAATCAGCAGGGGATCAAATACTTTTTTCCCTCACTGTAGCAGATAATGATTCGTTGTCAGGTTAAATTGGAGCATACAGTGGGGGAAAAAGTATTTAGTCAGCCACCAATTGTGCAAGTTCTCCCACTTAAAAAGATGAGAGAGGCCTGTAATTTTCATCATAGGTACACGTGAACTATGACAGCCAAAATGAGAAAAAAAAATCCAGAAAATCACATTGTAGGATTTTTTATGAATTTATTTGCAAATTATGGTGGAAAATAAGTATTTGGTCAATAACAAAAGTTTCTCAATACTTTGTTATATACCCTTTGTTGGCAATGACACAGGTCAAACGTTTTCTGTACGTCTTCACAAGGTTTTCACACACTGTTGCTGGTATTTTGGCCCATTCCTCCATGCAGATCTCCTCTAGAGCAGTGATGTTTTGGGGCTGTCGCTGGGCAACACAGACTTTCAACTCCCTCCAAAGATTTTCTATGGGGTTGAGATCTGGAGACTGGCTAGGCCACTCCAGGACCTTGAAATGCTTCTTACGAAGCCACTCCTTCGTTGCCCGGACGGTGTGTTTGGGATCATTGTCATGCTGAAAGACCCAGCCACGTTTCATCTTCAATGCCCTTGCTGATGGAAGGAGGTTTTCACTCAAAATCTCACAATACATGGCCCCATTCATTCTTTCCTTTACACGGATCAGTCGTCCTGGTCCCTTTGCAGAAAAACAGCCCCAAAGCATGATGTTTCCACCCCCATGCTTCACAGTAGGTATGGTGTTCTTTGGATGCAACTCAGCATTCTTTGTCCTCCAAACACGACGAGTTGAGTTTTTACCAAAAAGTTCTATTTTGGTTTCATCTGACCATATGACATTCTCCCAATCCTCTTCTGGATCATCCAAATGCACTCTAGCAAACTTCAGCCTGGACATGTACTGGCTTAAGCAGGGGGACACGTCTGGCACTGCAGGATTTGAGTCCCTGGCGGCGTAGTGTGTTACTGATGGTAGGCTTTGTTACTTTGGTCCCAGCTCTCTGCAGGTCATTCACTAGGTCCCCCCGTGTGGTTCTGGGATTTTTGCTCACCGTTCTTGTGATCATTTTGACCCCACAGGGTGAGATCTTGCGTGGAGCCCCAGATCGAGGGAGATTATCAGTGGTCTTGTATGTCTTCCATTTCCTAATAATTGCTCCCACAGTTGATTTCTTCAAACCAAGCTGCTTACCTTTTGCAGATTCAGTCTTCCCAGCCTGGTGCAGGTCTACAATTTAGTTTCTGGTGTCCTTTGACAGCTCTTTGGTCTTGGCCATAGTGGAGTTTGGAGTGTGACTGTTTGAGGTTGTGGACAGGTGTCTTTTATACTGATAACAAGTTCAAACAGGTGCCATTAATACAGGTAACGAGTGGAGGACAGAGGAGCCTCTTAAAGAAGAAGTTACAGGTTTGTGAGAGCCAGAAATCTTGCTTGTTTGTAGGTGACCAAATACTTATTTTCCACCATAATTTGCAAATAAATTCATAAAAAATCCTACAATGTGATTTTCTGGATTTTTTTTTCTCATTTTGGCTGTCATAGTTCACGTGTACCTATGATGAAAATTACAGGCCTCTCTCATCTTTTTAAGTGGGAGAACTTGCACAATTGGTGGCTGACTAAATACTTTTTTCCCCCACTGTATTTATTTTTTATTTAACCTTTCTTTAAGCAGGGGTGAGTCCCATTGAGAACAAAATATATTTTACAAGGGAGCCCTGTATTACAAAGCAGCAATGATAAATCGAAAATAAATCCCAACTGTCCGTCTAGTCGTGGCTATCCTGTGTATGTACAGTAGGGGAGGTTTACCTGTGCAGAAGGACATGCCCTTACAGGTGGCGTTGATGGGCTCCTGGCATGTCTTGCCTGCCTGCTCAAACTTGCAGTTCTTACAGCATGGACTGTTCCTGTCACTGGATGTACCCGGACATAGAAAACGATAACTTCAGTTTACACAGCATAGTAGTGTATATGCACTGGCATGGTGATGATAGAGAGGTAGGCTACTGGATACCATGTTCAAGGTCCAATGCAGCCGTTCCTATCTCAATATCAAATGTTTTCTGGGTAACAACGAAGTACCTTCCTGTGATTGTTTTCAATTAAAATGGTCAAAAATAAACATAAATAGCTTCTTAGCAAAGAGTAATTTCTCAAGCAAGAATTTTGCTAGGACTGTTCGGGAGTGGTCTGAGTGGGGAAGGGAAAACTGAAAACGACCTGTTCTTGGCAGAGAGGTTTGGAACTCTCTTTCTTATTGGTCTATTAACTAATTTACCGCCTGGTGATGTCACCGGGCAAGTCAAAACAGGCAAAGATTTCAGGCTGTCTTTTCAAACAGCTTTTACACTAAAAGGGCATTATCATAATTTTCACAATTTCACAGTATTATTCCAACCGCAGTGTGGAAATGTATATAGAACACAGGGAAATCACGTTTTTGACTGCATTGGGCCTTTAAACACACACAAAATAACTGCAATGTCAGTGGGGTATCAATGTCAGTTGACTTTATTAGTTTACTGTATATTATGAAATTGACATGATTCTGTATGTAAACATGTTGTAACTTGTACATGACGCCGCAAACTAAATTTCCCCAAGGGGACAATAAAGTCAGCCAGTAAGTAAAGAAAGGCAGGAATTCACCGAAGCCCTTGTAAATGTCATCTTATCATATTAATTACTGCACTCAGAGGTGGCCATTTTGGGCCATGCGTGGCGGGTTTCTACCTGCACTGGGACTCAGGCCTGAACTTGCAGTCGGCGGAGCAGCACTGGTCGTCGTTGAGGTGCAGCAGGCCCGGGTCGCACTCCTCCCCCTCCTCCACGCGCGAGTTCCCACACACATTGCTGTTCCTCTCCTTGAAGCAGATGGGAGCCTTGAAGCGCAGCGTCTTCCCTATGGATATCTTACTGCAGTTGGAGAATCGCTGTGGGGAGAAGACAAACGTAAAGGAAAGAATAGAAGGTAAATGTCATGTGAGCATATGAGTCATTTGACAGAAGATTTGAGGCACACAAGAGCATTACCTTGTTGTTGTAGTGGTCCCCGCTCACAGCAATGGGGTTCATGACAAACTTGCCCCCGTGTTCATCGCTAGGGGCGCAGTAGTGGATGTTGTCAGGATCGTGCTCAGCTCCAAAGTTGTGGCCCAGCTCATGGGTTGTCACCAAATCTGCTTCCTGGTGGTGGGAAAAAAAAGAAAAAAAACTTTTAATGCTTGGAAACCATACAGTGACTTCCAACAATTAATACAATAATAAAGAAATTATTACATAATCTGTTATCTTTGGGATATACAGTGAGGGAAAAAAGTATTTGATCCCCTGCTGATTTTGTACGTTTGCCCACTGACAAAGAAATGATCAGTCTATAATTTTAATGGTAGGTTTATTTGAACAGTGAGAGACAGAATAACAACAACAAAATCCAGAAAAACGCATGTCAAAAATGTTATGAATTGATTTCCATTTTAATGAGGGAAATAAGTATTTGACCCCTCTGAAAAACATGACTTAGTACTTGGTGGCAAAACCCTTGTTGGCAATCACAGAGGTCAGACGTTTCTTGTAGTTGGCCACCAGGTTTGCACACATCTCAGGAGGGATTTTGTCCCACTCCTCTTTGCAGATCTTCTCCAAGTCATTAAGGTTTCGAGGCTGACGTTTGGCAACTCGAACCTTCAGCTCCCTCCACAGATTTTCTATGGGATTAAGGTCTGGAGACTGGCAAGGCCACTCCAGGACCTTAATATGCTTCTTCTTGAGCCACTCCTTTGTTGCCTTGGCCGTGTGTTTTGGGTCATTGTCATGCTGGAATACCCATCCACGACCCATTTTTAATGCCCTGGCTGAGGGAAGGAGGTTCTCACTCAAGATTTGATGGTACATGGCGCCGTCCATCGTCCCTTTGATGCGGTGAAATTGTCCTGTCCCCTTAGCAGAAAAACACCCCCAAAGCATAATGTTTCCACCTCCATGTTTGACGGTGGGGATGGTGTTCTTGGGGTCATAGGCAGCATTCCTCCTCCTCCAAACACGGCGAGTTGAGTTGATGCCAAAGAGCTCCATTTTGGTCTCATCTGACCACAACACTTTCACCCAGTTCTCCTCTGAATCATTCAGATGTTCATTGGCAAACTTCAGACGGGCCTGTATATGTGCTTTCTTGAGCAGGGGGACCTTGCGGGCGCTGCAGGATTTCAGTCCTTCAGGGCGTAGTGTGTTACCAATTGTTTTCTTGGTGATCCTCCCGTGTAGTTCTGGGCTGATTCCTCACCGTTCTCATGATCATTGCAACTCCACGAGGTGAGATCTTGCATGGAGCCCCAGGCTGAGGGAGATTGACAGTTATTTTGTGTTTCTTCCATTTGCGAATAATCGCACCAACTGTTGTCACCTTCTCACTAAGCTGCTTGGCGATGGTCTTGTAGCCCATTCCAGCCTTGTGTAGGTCTACAATCTTGTCCCTGACATCCTTGGAGAGCTCTTTGGTCTTGGCCATGGTGGAGAGTTTGGAATCTGATTGATTGATTGCTTCTGTGGACAGGTGTCTTTTATACAGTTAACAAACTGAGATTAGGAGCACTCCCTTTAAGAGTGTGCTCCTAATCTCGTTACCTGTATAAAAGACACCTGGGAGCCAGAAATCTTTCTGATTGAGAGGGGGTCAAATACTTATTTCCCTCATTAAAATGCAAATCAATTTATAACATTTTTGACATGCGTGTTTCTGGATTTTTTTGTTGTTATTCTGTCTCTCACTGTTCAAGTAAACCTACCATTGAAATTATAGACTGATCATGTCTTTGTCAGTGGGCAAACGTACAAAATCAGCAGGGGATCAAATACTTTTTTCCCTCACTGTAAAAGCATGTAGGATATCTGAGGAGCAGTGACTTAAAGAGGGTCTTGTAAGGCATTAATATTAGTCATATGATGCATACCGCTACCTGCTCAACCCATGACCCAACACAATGTGCCCCACAGACTATTCTATCCATCACATTAGTGTCATTAGACAACAGCTCAAACCATCATCTTGACTGAGTACTGCCTTGGGGCCTTTCATCTGACCTATGACCCAGAAAGATGTCATGAATTATGTAATACAGGGAGTTGTTCAGTCCTGGTTCTAGTTTGTTCAATAGAGGGTGCAGAAACCATAGAAATAGCATGGCTGGATTCAGATACTCAATGAAGAACCTACCTTGGTTAGAATGGTTTTGCCATAATTCTTGGTGCTGGTTAAACCAGTGTTGAGGAAAATGGGACTCTTAACGGAACTAGATGGAAAGAAAGCTGCAAAAAACAAAAAGAGAAATCAGACCAGAAATTTAGGAGCAATGTTTTATGAATTTATCACACCATTATCAAAACACTACTCATAGTTATTTTATCGAAAATGAGAGGACCTCTGTGAGAGGCTAAGCCTTACGTTTGGGGCAGAGGCCCCCCAGAGCCTGGGCTTTAGAGGGGGCCACGTAAGCCAGGCCCAGTGTCCCCTCGTCAAAGTCCTGGTAGGTGAACAGGTGGGCCAGGCACACGGTGCTAGCGTTGTCCGCTATGTCCGTGCTAAATTGCTGGAGAGAAAGAGAGGTATTGCAAAATTAATGAGAAGAAAATACTAGTCAAAAGTATCCCCCATTGATGAGGAGGTCGTTTGTTGTCAGTCATGTTTAGGCCCTTTCAACGAAATGTTATTGAAGTTTCTACAACGTATACAGTGACCCAAAAAAATGTCCTCCCTACCTACAGACAAAAGAACACTGTACAGGCTATACTCTGTAATGGTGTCTGAGTAGAATAGATTAGAGTAGAGGAGGGTCAGTAGCAGTGTCTCACCTCCAGCAGTTTCTTGACGTCCCACACCTCCTTGCTTTGGATGGGGCTTCCCTTCATGTTGTAGTGGGTCCAGCCCGGCCCAGCCTGACCAAGCGGCGCTCTGGTCGGCTCCTTGTTGATGATGATCTACAACCAGGACATTACAACTTCTTAAACCCAAGTTAAGGTTGCAGCATGTACTACAGTCCCCATAATGCTCTGCACAAGATATATTGGTTTAAGGTCAGGAGAAAATATGGATCATGGACCGCAGCATATGTATTCAGTGAGACAGCGGTGGATTCATAGTAGATGCACAGTGTCGCCATTCATTCCCAGAGCAAGTGGAACCAATTGGATTTCCCCAACAGCTTTTCCACACAAAGAGCTTCCACTGTCTGCTCCAAAAATGCTTTTCCAAATTCAATTAGGGTACTACAGTTATGTTCAGCTTCATTTCTCAAATCTGCACTGACACATAACACACTGAGTTATGTTGTCAGTAGTGATATGGAATGATTGGAGTGAAAATAACAACATGCCAAATATTTGCTTATAACTACTACTACTCCTACTACTACAATACAACTACTACCAACTCACACACACAGCTAGCAAATAGTCCCACCTGTTGGATCTGAACACCGTATCCTGTTAACTCGTCATCCCAGGTTGTGTTCCTGTACATGTCATCCACTCTGTCAATCAACTCAATCTGGGTGAAACAACAGACAGTATTAGTACAAACCCAGATGATGCCTGTCCCTGTACAGAGGTTCGTTGAAGCACTATACAATTCTAAATGGACCCCAAGACTCTACTTCCAGGCACTTCATCAAGGTCTAAAACACGTGTCAAACTCATTCCACAGCGGGCTGAGTGTCTGCAGGTTTTCGCTCCTCCCTTGTACTTGATTGATGAATTAAGGTCACTAATTAGTATAGAACTCCTCTCACCTGGTTGTTTAGGTCTTCATTGAAAGGAATAGAAACAAAAACCAGCAGACACTAGTTGTGTTCGAAAACTCATACTAACCCCACTAAGCGTACTATTTGTGACGTAAATTGAGTATGTAGTATGCTTATTGGTCATAGTATGGATATACTGGCTCTGATCAGACCCTACACCCAAACGAGGGCACTACGTTCATCCACCTCTGGCCTGCTAGTCCCCCTACCTCTACGGAAGCACAGTTCCTGCTCAGCCCAGTCAAAGCTATTCGCTGCTCTGGCACCCCAATGGTGGAACAAGCTCCCCCACGACGCCAGGACAGCGGAGTCACTGACCACCTTCCGGAGACACTTGAAACCCTACCTCTTTAAGGAATACCTGGAATAGTATAACAGTAATCCTTCTACCCCCCCCCATAAAAAAAATGAAAACAAAAAAAGGGTGGTTGTCCCACTGGCTATCCTAAGTTGAATGCACCAATTTGTAAGTCGCTCTGGATAAGAGCGTCTGCTAAATGACTTAAATGAAAAATGTAAATATAGTTAGTATGCCAAAAGTTCCCGGATGTCGTACTACATTCGCCAAAATACGAAGTATACAAGCAGTGGACACTATTTCTGTGCTTTTAGGGCCCATAATGTCTCCCGAGTGGCGCATTGGTCTAAGGCACTGCATCGCAGTGTTAGCTGTGCCACTAGAGATCCTGGTTCGAATCCAGGCTCTGTCGTAGCCGGCCGCGACCGGGAGACCCATGGGGCGGCGCACAATTGGCCCGGCGTCGTCCAGGGTAGGGGAGGGAATGGCTGGCAGGGATGTAGCTCAGTTGGTAGAGCATGGCGTTTGCAACACCAGGGTTGTGTGTTCGATTCCCACGGGGGGCCAGTATGAAAATGTATACACTCAATAACTGTAAGTCGCTCTGGATAAGAGCGTCTGCTAAATGACGTAAATGTAAATGTATAATGCAATTGTTCAGAAAATGGGCGTAGCTTCACAACATTTTCAGATTTGAAGAAAATGGCAGAAAATATGCAGCCGAAGTCCGACGAGAGCGGATACAAATTCATTGCTTTTACTAATTATGACAAATGTTAAGAAAATGTTGAGCAATGTAATAAAGTAATGACTTTTCAAATAAGTTACGTTACACGTTATGTTGGCTGACAATTTGTTAGCTACGCTAGCCTTACGAACCGCATAGCATATCATTACAGCAGTTGCTTGTATGTACCGGTATAGTTGGCTAGCTACTTAACGTTAGTTGGCTACTAATAAATCGAACTTGCCAGTACACAGTATTAACTATATGCTAACTAACTAACTAACTAACTACCCAACATTCTTGTCTTAGCTAAGTGGTATAGTCGTTGTGCGTTCTCAATGGATATTGTTAATGAGCTGTCTAGTTAGTCATTTGTTATGCTAACAAGCTAGCAAGATGTTGCATAGCAACAGCATCAACTTCCGGTAGACAGGTGAAGCGCTAGTACACTCAACTGAAAGGATACTGTTAGTTTACAGTATACTAAAATGAACTAATAATATATAGTATGTAGTATATACTCATTAAGTACGTAGTATACAGTATGTTAGTATGGATATTCAAACACAGTTTAGGCCCTCCATGGAATGCGTTTGACACCCCTGGTCTAAAAGCATTGAGTAGGTATTGCACAGGAGGTTGGTGGCACCTTAATTGGGGAGAAACAGGCTTGTGGTAATGACTGGAGCGGAATTAGTGAAATGGTAACAAATACATCAAACACATGGTTTCCAGGTGTTTGATGTTATTCCATTTGTGCCGTTCCGGCCATTATAATGAGCCGTCCTCCCCTCAGCAGCCTCCTGTGAGGTATCGGCATAATGATGGATAGCTAATAGCGCCACCTTACCCTCTGATAGGCTCGATGAAATTCTGACCACATGACTTCAACATATCCGATCTCCTCAGATCTACCTACCATACACTGTGTACAAAACATTAGGAACACCACCCTAATGTTGAGTTGCACCCCCTTTTGCCCTCAAAACAGCCTCAATTCGTCAGGGCATGGACTCTACACAGTGTCATGGAAAGAGTTTTGTACACTCATTGTTCCTCAAGCAAGGGGGAAGGCGATGACATCACAAATCCCCACCAGACCAACTCCTTGAATGCCCTACTCCTTGAAGTTTGCATTTGTGTCCAAAAACCACTATTATTCTCAAAACATATTTTTTACCCTTTAGTGTGTGTACCTACAGTATTTATACTTGAGATATTGCTTTTCAACAGTAAAAGTTCAAAAATCGCCGGAGGATGTCTTTCTTTATTTTTAGGGGGTAGATCATCTTTAATATTGAAGATATTGTAATGTAATTGTCTGCATCATTTCCAATCCCCCAAAAAGTATTTAGTCAGCCACCAATTGTGCAAGTTCTCCCACTTAAAAAGATGAGAGAGGCCTGTAATTGTCATCATAGGTACACGTCAACTATGACAGACAAATTGAGAGAAAAAAAATCCAGAAAATCACATTGTAGGATTTTTAATGAATTTATTTGCAAATTATGGTGGAAAATAAGTATTTGGTCACCTACAAACAAGCAAGATTTCTGGCTCTCACAGACCTGTAACTTATTCTTTAAGAGGCTCCTCTGTCCTCCACTCGTTACCTGTATTAATGGCACCTGTTTGAACTTGTTATCAGTATAAAAGACACCTGTCCACAACCTCAAACAGTCACACTCCAAACTCCACTATGGCCAAGACCAAAGAGCTGTCAAAGGACACCAGAAACAAAATTGTAGACCTGCACCAGGCTGGGAAGACTGAATCTGCAATAGGTAAGCAGCTTGGTTTGAAGAAATCAACTGTGGGAGCAATTATTAGGAAATGGAAGACATACAAGACCACTGATAATCTCCCTCGATCTGGGGCTCCACGCAAGATCTCACCCCGTGGGGTCAAAATGATCACAAGAACGGTGAGCAAAAATCCCAGAACCACACTGGGGGACCTAGTGAATGACCTGCGGAGAGCTGGGACCAAAGTAACAAAGCCTACCATCAGTAACACACTACGCCGCCAGGGACTCAAATCCTGCAGTGCCAGACGTGTCCCCCTGCTTAAGCCAGTACATGTCCAGGCCCGTCTGAAGTTTGCTAGAGTGCATTTGGATGATCCAGAAGAGGATTGGGAGAATGTCATATGGTCAGATGAAACCAAAATAGAACTTTTTGGTAAAAACTCAACTCGTCGTGTTTGGAGGACAAAGAATGCTGAGTTGCATCCAAAGAACACCATACCTACTGTGAAGCATGGGGGTGGAAACATCATGCTTTGGGGCTGTTTTTCTGCAAAGGAACCAGGACGACTGAGCATTTCAAGGTCCTGGAGTGGCCTAGCCAGTCTCCAGATCTCAACCCCATAGAAAATCTTTGGAGGGAGTTGAAAGTCCGTGTTGCCCAGCGACAGCCCCAAAACATCACTGCTCTAGAGGAGATCTGCATGGAGGAATGGGCCAAAATACCAGCAACAGTGTGTGAAAACCTTGTGAAGACTTACAGAAAACATTTGACCTGTGTCATTGCCAACAAAGGGTATATAACAAAGTATTGAGAAACTTTTGTTATTGACCAAATACTTATTTTCCACCATAATTTGCAAATAAATTCATAAAAAATCATACAATGTGATTTTCTGGATTTTTTTTTCTAATTTTGTCTGTCATAGTTGACGTGTACCTATGATGAAAATTACAGGCCTCTCTTATCTTTTTAAGTGGGAGAACTTGCACAATTGGTGGCTGACTAAATACTTTTTTCCCCCACTGTAGATATTCCATTAAAAATCAGACGTTTCCAGCTACAATAGCCATTTACATCATTAACAATGTCTACACTGTATTTCTGATCAATTTGATGTTATTTTAATGGACAAAAAAATTGCTTTTCTTTCAAAAACAAGGACATTTCTAAGTGACCCCAAACTTTTGAACGGTAGTGTATGTAGAGCAATATAGGTAGAAATGTTACAAACTAGGAGGTTCAGGACCCTCGTAAGATATCATAGTAAAATGAAGGGATGTATTGCAAAAGGAAATTGCTAAATGGCATTATACTGGGAGATGGGTTAATCTGTGGACATCAGAGGGTTGGAGTTAAAATTACAATGAATGGTGGATTGGCCGCTGTGGGTGAAAATCCAGCACTTGCAGAAAGAAGAAAATAGGAATACATGTATGATTATTTAACTACATATAATGGGTACATTAAGTATTGTTGTCCCTTAGTTTACTCCAATCAGTGTAGGGATGGTAGGGTTGGGGGGGAAAGTAGAAATAAATAAAAGGGGATTAGAAATGATACAAACAATTAAATTGATAGAACCCACAATCTGCAATATTAAAGCTTTATTTGGTACATAATAGGCACTTACTATAGCATTCTTTATATATTTATACGTGTTTTATTAGGTTGTTCTCACCATGACAGAATGTTAAAATCAGGTTAAATAAAACAGATTTTTTTCATTAATCAAGTTACACTACCAAAAAGGGACTCATTTCGTGGAACGCAGATTTTTTGTCACTGATCATTTAGACAAATCACGATTTAACAGGTACTCACATCTTTCTAATTTGGGGAAGGGGAAGAAACAGTTGGCCCATAGACTTGCCCAGAAACTGGCTGCGATTATTTTGGGACTCTCACCAGGTAGTTGAGTGTGATGCTCTCCTCTCCACGCCCCATGTGTTTGAAGAAGCGGTAGTCAGCCACCAGGGCTAGAGGACAGGTGTTCTTCTTGTGGTTGTGGGTCGCTCTCTTCTCTATGTGGAGGGAATCTATGATGGAGGAGGAAGGAGAGAGAGAGAGAGAAACACTGTAGGAAGTCACAGGTAGGAGAATGAATGAATGAGGCCAGCACTTCAGTTCCAACTGTTCAGTACCCTTGTTTTCACATTTAGTTTTTGTTTGCCTATGAACTGATTAGAAGCAGTATACTATATTTGTTCATACGACTAAAATTAAAATGAAAGATATAGGCCTAGCTGATGAAGCCTTTATTATAGAGTAATTTCCAGAACTGTCATTTTTCCAACTTTGTGTTTGGTAAAATGAATCAACATCACTTATTCTATGATGAGGAAGACTGGCTGTGGCTTGTAGGATTCATCATCACAATAATCCGTAATCAAAATAGCAAAGCAATTCTTCTGGAATAAATGTTTTTATTAACCCTTATTTCAAATTCACCTTTATTTCACAGGTTATTCCATCTGTAGAATAATAGCTTCTGCCCAACTCAGAAGCCACACTGTACAGCAGGTGTCAATTCAGACTAACTAAATGTATGTTAATTCCCTTTCCCTTATGACTACATCCATTTTGAGTGGGCCTGGTGTATCATAGGCTACAAACCACAGTCAGCCCCCCCACAAAACAAGTCAGTCATATGTGCTCTCCTTCCCTCCACAAGACCTCAGATTCTTCCGTAACGAACCACAGCGTGTGGGTGTACCGACTATGGCTCCCCCCCCCCCCCCCCCTTTCCTCACAGAGACTCACACTGTAGTCCCCCCCCCCCCTTATTACATACAACAGCTCACATGAATTCTACTTCTTCTGTGGAGATCCTTCACCTGATTTTCCACATAGTTTTTTGAATAGAGGACATTGTCTTGAGCGCCTTCAGATTTCCCCCAGGTCATTGTCATTCTAATGAGCTTTACATTTGACAGGCAGCACAAAGGAATCGGAGCTTTATATAACACCCTGTTGCCAGTCTATGTATGGAACATAGGTTTTAGACATGAAAGGTTTTTATTAATTGTGAGGCTGTGTGGGGACAAGATAGAATGGGCGCCCACCAACCTACTGCTTCCTCTCCTCCTCCAGGAATCATCTTCCTCCCTACCTCCTCACACTGTAAGGTTGTATAAGGTAGCTTCTAATGTTTCTGACTCCTACACACTTTTTTACACCACACATAAGCACTCGGTCTATGCATATGAAACATATACAAATGGGGTGTCTCCTACTCTGTATGTAGGCCTATACTGTCGAACACACACACTCCATCTTACCCTCCTGTGCCTCTCCACCTCTGGCGGCCTCTGGCAGCAGGTCCTGGGCCCCAGCGTGGACGTATCCACACACCTTGGGCGAGGCCAGGCGACTGAGGTTCTTGATGTCCTCAGAGCGGTATACCAACAGACGACCATCGGGGGGCACCTCAGTGAACCTCCACAGGGGCTGAGGAGAGAGGGAAGAGGGGGATGGAGAGAGAGCGAGAGGAGGATGAAGGATTGGGAGAAGTAGGATTGGTTAGATAAAGTATTCTACCAACACAAAGGCTAGCGCTGGTTTATATAGCTGATAGTTTTAACTCTTTTACACCGTTTTGGCATCATTTCCCCAGCAACTGTTTTCTGGCCTACTTTAAACCAGGGGTTGGAACCAGAATTATTTTCCAATCGTTTCATTCTGAACAGAACCACTATTTTTTTTGTTCCATTCCACTGTTCTGACCAGCAAAATAAAGTTCTGAACCGGTTCAAACGAAAAAAAAGTACTGGTTTATATCATTCCTTTCTGTTCCTTTTTTAACCTGTGAAATCAACAGTTTTTTTTTTTAACATTTAACGGTTGCTAATGCACTTTTGTTCATCGCGCTGTTCCTTACATTTCACCTTATTTTAGCGCCCCAAAAACATAATACTTCCAGATCAACTGTAATATGAATACCATTGTAAAGCACAATTTCTCTCCTCTTCAGCAAAATCAATGACGAGACCTTCATGCTGCCCTTCTCTGCATGATTGAAGAAAGCAATGGAGGTCCGCCGGGTCATTTTAAAAATGATGGGTGGGGAAGTGAAAGCTACTGCGTCATAGTGAAAGGGGAAGATATGTTGTGTGGGGAACTGGCTAATTTCACCCGATTTGTCCAATTTATCACCTCTAAAATGTAAATAAAAGACTATAAGAGTTTATATAATGACTCATTACATACCTATTTGAAGGTTTGTCGAATTTCAATAGGGTTTTTAGGGCAGCGCTACATTTATCTTCACAATTAAACTGTGGGTGTCACGGTTTCTGAGAGTCAATATGGCTCGCAGTGATTACGCGAAAAATTAACAATTGATTGAATTAACTATTGATGAACTCACAAGTAATCAACTTTACACTCACCATTACACTCACCATTGATCATTTCTTGTTTTTAATCTGCGAGAGAAGCGACACACCTGGTGGAAAGAGGCTGTATGGCACAGAATGAGTTGAATAATGCATGCCGTACGTTACGTCGTGACATGTCACACTTTAACGTACAGCGTCAGCCGGGGTCAGTTTTTTCAACTTTTCTCCAATACTATTGGTCCATTACCATGTCAATCAACGCTGAATCTAAATTTAGCTCACACCCCGGATTTTGATGCCAACACAGTCGCTACAGTCCCATTAGTTTTCATCGCAGCCTCGTTTGAATGCCGCGGTTGCCCACATACAGTGGGGAAAAAAGTATTTAGTCAGCCACCAATTGTGCAAGTTCTCCCACTTAAAAAGATGAGAGAGGCCTGTAATTTTCATCATAGGTACACGTCAACTATGACAGACGAAATGAGATTTTTTTCTCTCCAGAAAATCACATTGTAGGATTTTTAATGAATTTATTTGCAAATTATGGTGGAAAATAAGTATTTGGTCAATAACAAAAGTTTCTCAATACTTTGTTATATACCCTTTGTTGGCAATGACACAGGTCAAACATTTTCTGTAAGTCTTCACAAGGTTTTCACACACTGTTGCTGGTATTTTGGCCCATTCCTCCATGCAGATCTCCTCTAGAGCAGTGATGTTTTGGGGCTGTCGCTGGGCAACACGGACTTTCAACTCCCTCCAAAGATTTTCTATGGGGTTGAGATCTGGAGACTGGCTAGGCCACTCCAGGACCTTGAAATGCTTCTTACGAAGCCACTCCTTCGTTGCCCGGGCGGTGTGTTTGGGATCATTGTCATGCTGAAAGACCCAGCCACGTTTAATCTTCAATGCCCTTGCTGATGGAAGGAGGTTTTCACTCAAAATCTCACGATACATGGCCCCATTCATTCTTTCCTTTACACGGATCAGTCGTCCTGGTCCCTTTGCAGAAAAACAGCCCCAAAGCACGATGTTTCCACCCCCATGCTTCACAGTAGGTATGGTGTTCTTTGGATGCAACTCAGCATTCTTTGTCCTCCAAACACGATGAGTTGAGTTTTTACCAAAAATTTATATTTTGGTTTCATCTGACCATATGACATTCTCCCAATCCTCTTCTGGATCATCCAAATGCACTCTAGCAAACTTCAGACGGGCCTGGACATGTACTGGTTTAAGCAGGGGGACACGTCTAGCACTGCAGTATTTGAGTCCCTGGCGGCGTAGTGTGTTACTGATGGTAGGCTTTGTTACTTTGGTCCCAGCTCTCTGCAGGTCATTCACTAGGTCCCCCCATGTGGTTCTGGGATTTTTGCTCACCGTTCTTGTGATCATTTTGACCCCACGGGGTGAGATATTGCGTGGAGACCCAAATCGAGGGAGATTATCAGTGGTCTTGTATGTCTTCCATTTCCTAATAATTGCTCCCACAGTTGATTTCTTCAAACCAAGCTGCTTACCTATTGCAGATTCAGTCTTCCCAGCCTGGTGCAGGTCTACAATTTAGTTTCTGGTGTCCTTTGACAGCTCTTTGGTCTTGGCCATAGTGGAGTTTGGAGTGTGACTGTTTGAGGTTGTGGACAGGTGTCTTTTATACTGATAACAAGTTCAAACAGGTGCCATTAATACAGGTAACGAGTGGAGGACAGAGGAGCCTCTTAAAGAATAAGTTACAGGTCTGTGAGAGCCAGAAATCTTGCTTGTTTGTAGGTGACCAAATACTTATTTTCCACCATAATTTGCAAATAAATTCATTAAAAATCCTACAATGTGATTTTCTGGATTTTTTTCTTCTCAATTTGTCTGTCATAGTTGACGTGTACCTATGATGAAAATTACAGGCCTCTCTCATCTTTTTAAGTGGGAGAACTTGCACAATTGGTGACTGACTAAATACTTTTTTTCCCCACTGTACAGTGCCTTGCAAAAGTATTAATCCCCCTTGGAGTTTTTCCTATTTTGTTGCATTACAACCTGTAATTTAAATTGATTTTTATTTGGATTTCATGAAATGAAAAAAATAACTTGTTTCAAAAAATTCTAAAAAATAAATAACAGAAAAGTGGTGCGTGCATATGTATTTACCCCCTTTGCTATGAAGCCCCTAAATAAGATCTGGTGCAACCAATTACCTTCAGAAGTCACATACAGTTGAAGTCGGAAGTTTACATACACTTAGTTTGGAATCATTAAAACTTGTTTTTCAACCACTCCACAAATTTCTTGTTAACAAACTATAGTTTTGGCAAGTCGGTTAGGACATCTACTTTGTGCATGACACAAATAATTTTTCCAACAATTGTTTACAGACAGATTATTTCACTTATAATTCACTGTATCACAATTCCAGTGGGTCAGAAGTTTACATACACTAAGTTGACTGTGCCTTTAAACAGCTTGGAAAATTCCAGGAAAGTATGTCATGGCTTTAGAAGCTTCTGATAGGTTAATTTACATAATTTGAGTCAATTGGAGGTGTACCTGTAGATGTATTTCAAGGTCTACCTTCAAACTCAGTGCCTCTTTGCTTGACATCATGGGAAAATCAAAAGAAATCAGCCAAGACCTCCACAAGTCTGGTTCATCAGCAAGGAAGAAGCCAATGCTCCAAAATCGGCATAAAAAGCCAGACACATGGGGACAAAGATCGTACTATTTGGAGAAAAGTCCTCTGGTCTGATGAAACAAAAATAGAACTGTTTGGCCATAATGACCATCGTTATGTTTGGAGGAAAAAGGGGGTTGCTTGCAAGCCGAAGAACACCATCCCAAGCACGGGGGTGGCAGCATCATGCTGTGGGGGTGCTTTGCTGCAGGAGGGACTGGTGCACTTCACAAAAAAGATGGCATCATGAGGAAGGAAAATTATGTGGATATATTGAAGCAACATCTCAAGACATCAGTAAGGAAGTTAAAGCTTGGGTCTTCCAAATGGACAATGACCCCAATCATACTTCCAAAGTTGTGGCAAAATGTCATAAGGACAACAAAGTCAAGGTATTGGAGTGGCCATCACAGAGCCCTGACCTCAATACTATAGAAAATGTGTGGGCTGAACAGAAAAACCGTGTGTGAGCAAGGAGGCCTACAAACCAGACTCAGTTACACAAGCTCAATCAGGAGGAATGGGCCAAAATTCACCCAACTTATTGTGGGAAGCTGATGGAAGGCTACCCGAAATGTTTGACCCAAGTTAAACAATTTAAAAGCAATGCTAACAAATACTAATTGAGTGTATGTAAACTTCTGACCCACTGGGAATGTGATGAAAGAAATAAAAGCTGAAATAAATCTCTCTCTACTATTATTCTGACATTTCACATTCTTAAAATAAAGTGGTGATCCTAACTGACCTAAGACAGGGAATTTTTACTTGGATTAAATGTCAGGAATTGTGAAAAACTGAGTTTAAATGTATTTGGCTAAGGTTTATGTAAACTTCCGACTTCAACTGTAATTAGTTAAATAAAGTCCACCTGTGTGCAATCTAAGTGTCACATGATCTCAGTATATATACACCTGTTCTGAAAGGCCCCCGAGTCTGCAACACCACTAAGCAAGGGGCACCACCAAGCAAGCGGCACCATGAAGACCAAGGAGCTCTCCAAACAGGTCAGGGACAAAGTTGTGGAGAAGTACAGATCAGGGTTGGGTTATAAAAAAATATCAGAAACTTTGAACATCCCACAGAGCACCATTAAATCCATTATTAAAAAATGGAAAGAATATGGCACCACAACAAATTTGCCAAGAGAGGGCCGCCCATCAAAACCAGGCAAGGAGGGCATTAATCAGAGGCAACAAAGAGACCAAAGATAACCATGAAGGAGCTGCAAAGCTCCACAGCGGAGATCGGAGTATCTGTCCATAGGACCACTTTAAGCCGTACACTCCACAGAGCTGGGCTTTACGGAAGAGTGGCCAGAAAAAAGCCATTGCTTAAAGAAAGAAATAAAGGCATGTGGGAGACTCCCCAAACATATGGAAGAAGGTACTCTGGTCAGATGAGACTCAAATTGAGATTTTTGGCCATCAAGGAAAATGCTATGTCTGGCGCAAACCCAACACCTCTCATCCCCCCGAGAACACCATCCCCACAGTGAAGCATGGTGGTGGCAGTATCATGCTGTGGGGATGTTTCCCATCGGCAGGGACTGGGAAACTGGTCAGAATTGAAGGAATGATGGATGGTGCTAAATACAGGGAAATTCTTGAGGGAAACCTGTTTCAGTCTTCCAGAGATTTGAGACTGGGACGGAGGTTCTCCTTCCAGCAGGACAATGACCCTAAGCATACTGCTAAAGCAACACTCGAGTGGTTTAAGGGGAAACATTTAAATGTCTTGGAATGGCCTAGTCAAAGCCCACACCTTAATCCAATTGAGAATCTGTGGTATGACTTAAAGATTGCTGTACACCAGCGGAACCCATCCAACTTGAAGGAGCTGGAGCAGTTTTGCCTTGAAGAATGGGCAAAGATCCCAGTGGCTAGATGTGCCAAGCTTATAGAGACATACCCCAAAAGACTTGCAGCTGTAATTCCTGCAAAATGTGGCTCTCCAAAAGTATTGACTTTGCGGGGGGTGAATAGTTATGCAAGTTTTTTTGTCTTAATTCTTGTTTGGTTAACAAAAAAATGTATTTTGCATCTTCAAAGTGGTAGGCATGTTGTGTAAATCAAATGATACAAACCCCCCAAAAATCCATTTTAATTCCAGGTTGTAAGGCAACAAAATAGGAAAAATGCCAAGGGGGGGTGAATACTTCCGCAAGCCACTGTATGTACAGCTACCTTTAGCTCATTAAATTACTTCACCAATCAGTGTGGATAGAGCAGTTAAGCTAACGTTAGTTGTTTACATGCATGATGGACAGACAAGTGTATCCTATGGCGCAAGATGAGACTGACATTTTGCGGATGGGGAGAGAGCGAGAGAGGGTTGAGGAGTAAGATTGAAGCGCTGGGCATCTTGTTATGACATGCATTATCTGAATTAGGTCCACAGAATTATACCTAGGAGGAGCGGCTTCTATGGAGAAACTTTGAATGTCCTTTGAGCTAGCTCGCTAACAAGCTTGAGCTAGCTAGCGGCACCAGAATTAAAAAACACGTGTTAACTTTTTGTAGTTAATAAATCCAACGTGAAACGTGATAACTAGGCCTATAGTATCCTTAACTAGCATTGAAAAAGTTAATCCATTCTTCTCTAGCTAATTAAAAATCTCTCTCCCTATCTTCTGAATGACGATTGTAACGTCAGTACAGTAGCCTATGTTTTGGAGGGGGAAGGGCAGGTAGCCTAAATACACACAGACATTGGCTTGCAGGCGGACACTGGAATAAGTTTGAGTGACAGTGAGAGCTTTGCATAGGCACTTTGTTGCTTTTTTGTTGTGGGACTAGAAAAAAATGCCTGGAACGTAAAATAACATTATTAACCGGTTCCCATGCTTTTAAAATAACGGTTCCGTTCCGGAACAGTATGGATGACTTTCGTTCCAGATTCCGTTTCGGTTCCTTGAGAAATGTTCCCTGAACCGGTTCCAACCCCTGCTTTAAACTTTAAACCAGGGCTCCTGTTTTGGGATTTACCTCTACGTTGTACTCCGTCTCCTCTGTAAGGATGTGGGCAGAGAACTCGTCCCCGTCTATGTGTGCCTGAACACGGGAGTGCTCCTCGCCTACACACACACACACACGATTTTAAGGTATTCTTCTCAGTACTCACACACACACTCACCCACACTGAAACGGAAGCACACACACAAACTGACACACAAGTGCAAACACCTCCATATCAATATTCCATATAAAACCAACCAAACAAATACCCTCCTGACTCACCTACAAGATGTCCAGTAAAGTAGTTCTGCAGCTGAACATCATGGCGGTCTTCCTTCCCTTGCTCATCTACAAACACAGCTTTGAAGTCCTCAGTAAACAGGCCTGTGTTAGTTGTCAAGTAAAGCTTAAAATGTCTGCGAAAAACATAAATTACAGTTTGATGGTAAGAAACATGAGAAATGTACACTACCGTTCAAACGTTTGGGGGTCACTTAGACATTTCCTTGTTTTTGAAAAGAAAAGCAATTTTCAGCAACCATTTCAAGCTCATTATCAGCAACCATCAGTCCTGTGTTCCAATGGCACATTGTGTTTGCTAATCCAAGTTTATCATTTTAAAAGGCAAATTGATCATTAGAAAACCCTTTTGCAATTATGTTAGCACAGTTGAAAAATGTTGTGCTGATTAAAGAAGCAATAAAACTGGCCTTCTTGAAACTAGTTGAGTATCTGGAGCATCAGCAATTGTGGGTTCGATTACAGGCTCAAAATGGCCAGAAACAAATAACTTTCTTCTGAAACTCGTCAGTCTATTGTTGTTCTGAGAAATGAAGGCTATTCCATGCAAGAAATTCCCAAGAAACTGAAGATCTCGTACAACGCTGTGTACTACTCACTTCACAAAACAGCGCAAACTGTCTCTAACCAGAATAGAAAGAGGAGTGGGAGGCCCTTGTCCACAACTGATCAAGAGGACAAATACATTAGAGTGTCTAGTTTGAGAAACAGACGCCTCACAGGTCCTCAACTGGCAGCTTCATTAAATAGTACCCGCAAAACACCAGTCTCAACGTCAACAGTGAAGAGGCGACTCCGGGATGCTGACCTTCTAGGCAGAGTTGCAAAGAAAAAGCCATATCTCAGACTGGCCAATAAAAATAAAAGATTAAGATGGGCAAAAGAACACAGACACTGGACAGAGGAAGATTGGAAAAAAGTGTTATGGACAGACTAATTGAAGTTTGAGGTGTTCGGATCACAAAGAAGAACATTTGTGAGACGCAGACCAAATGAAAAGATGCTGGAGGAGTGCTTGATGCCATCTGTCAAGCATGGTGGAGGCAATGTGATGGTCTGGGGGTGCTTTGGTGGTGGTAAAGTGGGAGATTTGTACAGGGTAAAGGGAACTTGAAGAAGGAAGGCTTTCACTCCATTTGGCAACGCCATACCATAACCTGTGGACGGCACTTGATTGGAGCCAATTTCCTCCTACAACAGGACAATGACCGAAAGCACAGCTCCAAACTATGCAATAACTATTTAGGGAAGAAGCAGTCAGCTGTTATTCTGTCTATAATGGAGTGGCCAGCACGGTCACCGGATCTCAACCCTATTGAGCTGTTGTGGGAGCAGCTTGACCGTATGGTACGTAAGAAGTGCCCATTAAGCCACGCCAACTTGTGGGAGGTGTTTCAGGAAGCATGGGGTGAAATCTCTTCAGATTACCTCAACAAATTGACAACTAGAATGCCAAAGGTCTGCAAGGCTGTAATTGCTGCAAATGGAGGATTCTTATTTCAATTAAAAATCATTATTTCTAACCTTGTCAATGACTACATTTACTATTCATTTTGCTATATTTCCTATTCAAACTCATTTCATGTATGTTTTCATGGAAAACAAGGACATTTCTCCAAACTTTTGAACGGTAGCGTACATATTCTGGTTTATTGAGGATACAGACAAATGTTAACTTTGTCAATGGTCTGTTTCAATTGCACAAAAGCACTGAAAATCCCATGAAGATAAATGCAATCTAGTCATTAGGCCATTGTAATGATAAAAAGCCATTCCAGTAACAATGTAAAAACACATAGGAGTAGAACCTAGCAGGGAGGACTAGAACCTCTGAGAAAAGTAACAGATAATTGAGACAGCGCTAATCTATTTTTCCAACCCCTAATGTCATATGATCTTTCCAAGCACTGGGCTGCATCAGAATGATACAAAACCATTGAACATCTCAACTTTTTTTGCTTGGTTTTGAATGTTACGTGAGTGGGTGGGAGAGCCCCATTGAGTAGAATGGAGTCTTTGCCGTTTTGCCCTTACATTTGAGTCATTTAGCAGACGCTCTTATCCAGAGCTTACGATGTGAAAGTCCCATATAGGAGACTTCGTGCCACCTACCTCTTGAGGGCATTGAAGCTGACCATGCGCTCCAGGTGGGACTCTGTGTGGACGTCCCTCTTCCTGAGCGAGTGCTGCTGGAGGCCGGACACGGGCAGCACCTCAAAGTCGGACAGCAACAAGCTCAGAGCTTCTGGAAGAAGGGAAGAGTCATATGAGGAGAGTGAGAGGGCCAGTCCTCTGTAGCTCAGTTGGTAGAGCATGGCACTTTTGACTGGTACTATATATACACTACCAGTCAAAGGTTTGGACACACCTACTCATTCAAGGGTTTTTCTTTATTTTTACTATTTTTTACATTGTCGAATAATAGTGAAGACATCAAAACTATGAAATAACACATATGGAATCATGTAGTAACCAAAAAAGTGTTAAACAAATCAAAATATATTTTATATTTGAGATTCTTCAAATAGCCATCCTTTGCCTTGATGACAGCTTTGCACACTTTTGGCATTCTCTCAACAGCTGTGCCTTCTTAAAAGTTAATTTGTGGAATTTCTTTCCTTCTCAATGCGTTTGAGCAAATCAGTTGTGTTGTGACAAGGTAGGGGGGGTATACAGAAGACAGCCCTATTTGGTAAAATACCAAGTACATATTATGTCAAGAACAGCTCAAATAAGCAAAGAGAAATGACAGTCCATCATTAATTTAAGACATGAAGGTCAGTCAATACGGAAAATTACAAGAACTTTTTAAGTTTCTTAAAGTGCAGTCGCAAAAACCATCAAGCACTATGATGAAACTGGCTCTCATGAGGACCGCCACAGGAATGGAAGACCCAGAGTTACCTCTGAAGCAGAGGATAAGTTCATTAGAGTTACCAGTTTCAGAAATTGCAGCCCAAATAAATGCTTCACAGAGTTCCAGTAACATCTCAACATCAACTGTTCAGAGGGGACTGTGTGAATCAGACGTTCATGGTTGAATTGCTGCAAAGAAACCACTACTAAAGGACACCAATAAGAAGAAAAGACCTGCTTGGGCCAAGAAACACGAGCAATGGACATACGACCGGTGGAAATGTGTCCTTTGGTCTGGAGTCCAAATTTGCGATTTTTGGTTCCAACCGCTGTGTGTCTTTGTGAGACACGGTGGGAGACCGGTGTGGGTGAACGGATGATCTCTGCATGTGTATATCCCACCGTAAAGCATGGAGGAGGTGGTGTTATGGTGTGGGGATGTGGGGGTGCTTTGCTGGTGACACGGTCTGTGATTTATTTAGAATTCAAGGCACACTTAACCAGCATGGCTACCACAGCATTCTACATCGATACGCCATCCCATCTGGTTTGGGCATAGTGGGACTATCATTTGTTTTTCAATAGCACAATGACCCAACACACCTCCAGGCTTTGTAAGGGCTGTTTTACCAAGAAGGAGAGTGATGGAGTGCTGCATCAGATGACCTGGCCTCCGCAATCCCCTGACCTCAACCCAATTGAGATGGTTTGGGATGAGTCGGACCGCAGAGTGAAGGAAAAGCAGCCAACAAGTGCTCAGCATATGTGGGAACTCATTCAAGACCGTTGGAAAAGCATTCCAGGTGAAGCTGGTTGAGGGAATGCCAAGAGTGTGCAAAGCTGTCATCAAGGCAAAGGGTGGCTATTTGAAGAATCTCAAATATTAAATATATTTTGATTTGTTTAACACTTTTTTGTTTACTACATGATTCCATATGTGTTATTTCATAGTTTTGATGTCTTCACTATTATTCTACAATGTAAAAAATAGACAAAAATAAATAAAAACCCTTAAATGAGTAGGTGTGTCCAAACTTTTGACTGGTAGTATATATACACACTACCGTTCAAAAGTTTGGGGTCACTTAGAAATATCCTTGTTTTCGAAAGAAAAGCAAATTTTTTGTCCATTAAAATAACATCAAATTGATCAGGAATACAGTGTAGACATTGTTCATGTTGTAAATGGCTATTGTAGCTGGAAACGTCATATTTTTAATGGAATATCTACATAGGCGTACAGAGGCCCATTATCAGCAACCATCAGTCCTGTGTTCCAATGGCACGTTGTGTTTGCTAATCCAAGTTTATCATTTTAAAAGGCTAATTGATCATTAGAAAACCCTTTTGCAATTATGTTAGCACAGCTGAAAAATGTTGTGCTGATTAAAGAAGCAATAAAACTGGCCTTCTTGAGACTAGTTGAGTATCTGGAGCATCAGCAATTGTGGGTTCGATTACAGGCTCAAAATGGCCAGAAACAAATAACTTTCTTCTGAAACTTGTCAGTCTATTCTTGTTCTGAGAAATGAAGGCTATTCCATGCGAGAAATTGCCAAGAAACTGAAGATCTCGTACAACGCTGTGTACCACTCCCTTCACAGAACAGCGCAAACTGGCTCTAACCAGAATAGAAAGAGGAGTGGGAGGCCCCGGTGCACAACTGAGCAAGAGGACAAATACATTAGTGTCTAGTTTGAGAAACAGATGCCTCACAGGTCCTCAACTGGCAGCTTCATTAAATAGTACCCGCAAAACACCAGTCTCAACGTCAACAGTGAAGAGACGACTCAGGGATGCTGACCTAGGCAGAGTTGCAAAGAAAAAGCCATCTCAGACTGGCCAATAAAAATAAAAGATTAAGATGGGCAAAAGAACACAGACACTGGACTTTGTCTTTGCAACTGTGCCTAGGTCAGCATCCCGGAGTCGCCTCTTCACTGTTGACGTTGAAACTGGTGTTTTGCGGGTACTATTTAATGAAGCTGCCAGTTGAGGACCTGTGAGGCATCTGTTTCTCAAACTAGACACTCTAATGTATTTGTCCTCTTGCTCAGTTGTGCACCGGGGCCTCCCACTCCTCTTTCTATTCTGGTTAGAGCCAGTTTGCGCTGTTCTGTGAAGGGAGTGGTACACAGCGTTGTACGGGATCTTCAGTTTCTTGGCAATTTCTCGCATGGAATAGCCTTCATTTCTCAGAACAAGAATAGACTGACGAGTTTCAGAAGAAAGTTCTTTGTTTCTGGCCATTTTGATCCTGTAATCAAACCCACAATTGCTGATGCTCCAGATACTCAACTAGTCTCAAGAAGGCCAGTTGTATTGCTTCTTTAATCAGCACAACAGTTTTCAGCTGTGCTAACATACTTGCAAAAGGGTTTTCTAATGATCAATTAGCCTTTTAAAATGATAAACTTGGATTAGCAAACACAACGTGCCATTGGAACACAGGACCGATGGTTGCTGATAATGGCCTTCTGTATGCCTATGTAGATATTCCATTAAAAATAAGACGTTTCCAGCTACAATAGCCATTTACAACATTAACAATGTCTACACTGTATTTCTGATCAATTAGATGTTATTTTAATGGACCAAGAAAATGCTTTTCTTTCAAAAACAAGGAAATGTCTAAGTGACCCCAAACTTTTGAACGGTAGTGTGTATATATATATATATATATATATATATATATATATATATATACACACACTGCTCAAAAAAATAAAGGGAACACTTAAACAACACAATGTAACTCCAAGTCAATCACACTTCTGTGAAATCAAACTGTCCACTTAGGAAGCAACACTGATTGACAATAAATTGCACATGCTGTTGTGCAAATGGAATAGACAACAGATGGAAATTATAGGCAATTAGCAAGATACCCCCAATAAAGGACTGGTTTTGCAGGTGGTGACCACAGACCACTTCTCAGTTCCTATGCTTCCTGGCTGATGTTTTGGTCACTTTTGAATGCTGGCGGTCCTTTCACTCTAGTGGTAGCATGAGACGGAGTCTACAACCCACACAAGTGGCTCAGGTAGTGCAGCTCATCCAGGATGGCACATCAATGCGAGCTGTGGCAAGAAGGTTTGCTGTGTCTGTCAGCGTAGTGTCCAGAGCATGGAGGCGCTACCAGGAGACAGGCCAGTACAACAGGAGACGTGGAGGAGGCCGTAGGAGGGCAACAACCCAGCAGCAGGACTGCTACCTCCACCTTTGTGCAAGGAGGAGTAGGAGGAGCACTGCCAGAGCCCTGCAAAATGACCTCCAGCAGGCCACAAATGTGCATGTGTCTGCTCAAACAGTCAGAAACAGACTCCATGAGGGTGGTATGAGGGCCCGACATCCACAGGTGGGGGTTGTGCTTACAGCCCAACACCGTGCAGGACGTTTGGCATTTGCCAGAGAACACCAAGATTGGCAAATTCGCCACTGGCGCCCTGTGCTCTTCACAGATGAAAGCAGGTTCACACTGAGCACATGTGACAGACGTGACAGAGTCTGGAGACGCCGAGGAGACCGTTCTGCTGCCTGCAACATCCTCCAGCATGACCGGTTTGGCGGTGGGTCAGTCATGGTGTGGGGTGGCATTTCTTTGGGGGGCCACACAGCCCTCCATGTGCTCGCCAGAGGTAGCCTGACTGCCATTAGGTACCGAGATGAGATCCTCAGACCCCTTGTGAGACCATATGCTGGTGCGGTTGGCCCTGGGTTCCTCCTAATGCAAGACAATGCTAGACCTCATGTGGCTGGAGTGTGTCAGCAGTTCCTGCAAGAGGAAGGCATTGATGCTATGGACTGGTCCGCCCGTTCCCCAGACCTGAATCCAATTGAGCACATCTGGGACATCATGTCTCGCTCCATCCACCAACGCCACAGACTGTACAGGTGTTGGCGGATGCTTTAGTCCAGGTCTGAGAGGAGATCCCTCAGGAGACCATCCGCCACCTCATCAGGAGCATGCCCAGGCGTTGTAGGGAGGTCATACAGGCACGTGGAGGCCACACACACTACTGAGCCTCATCTTGACTTGTTTTAAGGACATTACATCAAAGTTGGATCACCCTGTAGTGTGGTTTTCCACTTTCATTTTGAGGGTGACTCCAAATCCAGACCTCCATGGGGTTGATAAATTTGATTTCCATTGATAATTTTTGTGTGATTTTGTTGTCAGCACATTCAACTATGTAAAGAAAAAAGTATTTAATAAGATTATTTCATTCATTCAGATCTAGGATGTGTTATTTTAGTGTTCCCTTAATTTTTTTGAGCAGTGTATATACACATACCTACATACATACACACAGCCAGGCATAACTGAACTCCCTCAATGTAACACCAATATAGAGAAACTGGCAACATACAATATAATTGGTACAGTAACCGTACAGTGGTCACCAACCCTTGTCCTGAAGAGCTTCAAATGTGCAGGCTTTGGTTCTAACCCAGCACTAACACATCTGATTAATGTATCAATCATGGCCTTCCTGATTAGCTGAATCAGATGTGTTAGTGCTGGGATGGAACAAAACTCTGGTTCATTGTTAGCGACCACTACAGTAGCCTATACGCTACTCGCTCTGTGGCAAATAATATGGGCTTGATGCAGCACTAAGTAACAGTTAGAGTTGCCTAAAATATGTTTTTACCATGAATCTTTCTGAGGCATAAAACAGCCAAAACGGAAGTTTGTCACTTCCTCTTGAAAGCTGTTAGGTAGCTAGTTCTGTCCTGTCTAAAGGGCTCTACACAGTCTACGAAACGGATCCGAAGGAGGTTCGTTTGCATAGCTCTCTACATACTTTTGAGCGGCTGAATTTTTTGGAACGCGACCCCAAACGACGCTCGGTTTGTGTAGACTGTGAAATTCACTGTGGAGAGCCCTTAATGACACACACTCCATACAGCCTACAAATAGATTGTCAACACTGTCTTTGTGGTGCTAGTCAGAGCGTCACACTTTCCTAATTAAAACAACTTGAGCATGGTTGAAATTTTAACTAGGTACTTAATTGAAGGCAAATTCCCTGGCATCCTCAGCCTGTGACATAATTTCAAGCTATAGGCCTATAGACCTAAATACCTATCTTGATTTAACAAATCAATCAGTTGTCAAAACATTACAAGCTCAACCTCTGGGAAAATCAGTATCTAGCTATTATGTAGCCATGATTAGCCTTCATGGCCTATCTCTGCTATTGCTTTGTTACCTGTGTGTTTAAATCCACAGGGCAACATTATTTCAGGGGTGGCCAACACTGGAAAGCCAACGTTAGTGCGTACACGTTTGTTGTTCCAGCACATCACTACAGGTTATGTGAAACATTGAATTGCGATCTTCAGAATGATCAAGCTATTAGTGCTAGACTAGTTTGGGAACAAAAACCTTGATCCTCCAAGACAGCATTCTTCAATCCTGGTCCTGGGGACCCACAGGTCGTGCAGGTATTTGTTCCAGCCCTGCCAGTGCCATACATTTGTAGCTAGTTAACTAACATAAAATACCTTAGTTGAATCAGTAGATGTGATAAGACTAGGATTGAAGAACACTGCTCTGGCACCACTGGAAAAGGAATAGCCACTCTGTCTTGATTCATTTGAACACACACAGCATGATGCACAATAACGTTACTATGATGCTGAATACCAGACATTCTAGCTAGGTACTAAGTACCCGAAGACTATCTTACTCGTTAACAACATTAAAGTTAGTTAACTCGTTTGTTAGTTAACTAGCCAGCTATCTAGAGAACACTACTCGTCAAACTTTAGCAAGTGAAGATGTAGTTAACAGCCTAATTTGCATACATTTGACTCTGACAACTTGCTACTGTAGCAGAACATGTCTGAGAACTAACTAGCCACTAGCTAACGTTACTCACCGAACTCTGTGTCATTTTCCCGTGTTACTTCCTCAGTGGCCCTTGATTTAATCGCACAATTGACCCAACAAGGACCCAAAAAGGCCACAAGTACCAGATACTTCATCGTGACGTTAAAAGAGCTTACTCCACCTTTGTCATTATTGCAAGTTGTTGATGAATAATGTCAACAAGGAACCGTTGACCAGGCTAGGCAGAGCAGGTGTAGCACCAAAGCAAAATTAGTTTTATATTGGATATTCGGGTTTTCTCTCGTCTAGCTATAACCAATCATGCCATCAGTGGTGTAGTTGAGGATATAGGCAGGTATATGTCAAATACCCACGTATTTTTCTGTGGGCATTGCGTATACTCACTTCTTAATCCCCACTGATACGTACCAAAGTAGTGTAGTGGAGGTATCCTCCGTTTCAATTAATAAGTCTGATGGAACAGACGAGAATGTTTAGCCTAAAATGTTGATAAACTATTATTTCTTCACATTTTAGGTGCAGCAATGTACAGACGGCAGTAGGCCTTTGCATGAGTGTTCCAAAATGTAATTTGCGGGAAAACACTGTTCTATAATAAGCACCGGGTTTCATGGACAGAGATGGAAATATCCATTAGAAATGTAGAAAGAGGGCGGATTTAAATATGCTATCATGGGTTAATATGAATAGGATAATACCTTTGGCTGCTAGACAATGAAAGAAAGTTGAAAGAAAATCAATAGAACAGGAGAAAGCATATGAGTAAGTCTTTATAAAAATAATTTCCTCAGTGTTTCTATGGTGGGATTTTGTCCATAGGCTACTTTCAAGTAAGGTAAGACATGCCTCATATGAAGTGAAACGTCCAGGTTTATTAAGGAATAGAACAAATATAGTGATGCTAATGATAGGCCTAACCATCTTCTGGTAGATGGAAAGGCTTTCCCAAAAAACCTTCTCTATTAAATGTTAACTACAGTAGTTACAAAGTAGCCTATGCCTACCTGTCATAATGATATCATGATTATTTGCATCAATCCAGAAGCCTAGCCATTTATTTTGCAAACTCCAACTCATGTGCTACAGAAACACTGCTAACCAAACAACAGTGCTAGGTGCCTGCACACCTGAATTAAAGGGTAACTACACTTAGATTTTCCCAAACCTCAAAAGTGGTCTCCTGATGTGATTTAAGCATTGTTATTGACTTAGAACATACAATTTGGTTGTAAAAAAGTGCGACTTTGAGAGGGAAAACCTGGAAAAATGAGGAAGAATCTGAAACGTGATTTTTTTAAATTACATTTATCTGTTTCAATGGTAGGCCTAATATTAGTCTACTTGCACATTACAGCTTGGGTTGGCCTGACTGTGAAAGACCCCTTTTTGGGGATTTATAATTTTAGGTAATTCAGAGTGTACGTCACTGTTTCTCATAGAATTTTTCACACCGGGCACCTTTCCTTCACTGTGAGGGACGTTTGTAATTCGAGTATACCCACTTCTCCAGGCATCACTACACACACCACTGCATGCCATGACTATGAATATGGTATATTCTAAATCAGGGGTGGATGGAGAACAACCCACACTTTTTTTTGTGTGTGAAAAATTAATTAATAAATACGATTTCTGATTTCAATTTTCAATAGCTCTTACACAAAGCGTGCCATCACTATGAAAATGTGATATTCTGAATCAGGGGAGGATGGACAAAAATCCACAGCTTTTTTAATTATTTTATTTATTTATAATTCTTCCAGCTTTCAATCTTCAATAGCTCTTGTACAAAGCGTGCCATGTCTATGAAAATTATATTTTTTTTTATTGGGGGGGCTTTCAATCTTCAATAGCTCTTACACAAAGCGCACCATGACTATGAAAATGATACTGCACTTAATGGCTGTGCTCTATAGTCTTTATTGAGCTGCTGGGATTCTGCTTATTGGACATCCATCATGTCTAGTGGGCTTCTTTGCATCCCCCCCACACACGCACAAACACAGATGCACGTGCAGGCACTCACGCACACATATGCACACACGCACGTACACGCCCACACACACACAACATATGATGAAGGGTTAGCTTGGGTTAATCCACTCCGGTTTTATGGACCCCAGTCACAAGATACCAACATGTTTCAAGCAGACCACCATAGTCCCCGTGCCCAAGGACACTAAGATAACCTGCCTAAATGACTACCGACCCGTAGCACTGACGTCTGTAGCCATGAAGTGCTTTGAAAGGCTGGTCATGGCTCACATCAACACCATTATCCCAGAAACCCTAGACCCACTCCAATTTGCATACCGCCCCAACAGATCCACAGATGATGCAATCTCTATTGCACTCCACACTGCCCTTTCCCACCTGGACAAGAGGAACACCTACGTGAGAATGCTATTCATTGACTACAGCTCAGCATTCAACACCATAGTGCCCTCAAATCTCATCACTAAGCTAAGGATCCTGGGACTAAACACCTCCCTCTGCAACTGGATCCTGGACTTCCTGATGGGCCGCCCCCAGGTGGTAAGGGTAGGTAACAACACATCTGCCACACTGATCCTCAACACGGGGGCCCCTCAGGGGTGCGTGCTCAGTCCCCTCCTGTACTCCCTGTTCACCCATGACTGCATGGCCAGGCACAACTCCAACACCATCATTAAGTTTGCCGACGACACAACAGTGGTAGGCCTGATCACCGACAACGATGAGACAGCCTATAGGGAGGAGGTCAGAGACCTGGCCGTGTGGTGCCAGGATAACAACCTCTCCCTCAACGTGACCAAGACAAAGGAGATGATTGTGGACTACAGGAAAAAAAAGAGGACTGAGCACGCCCCCATTCTCATCAACGGGCTGTAGTGGAACAGGTTGAGAGCTTCAAGTTCCTTGGTGTCCACATCACCAACAAACTATCATGGTCCAAACACACCAAGACAGTCGTGAAGAGGGCACGACAAAGCCTATTCCCCCTCAGGAGACTGAAAAGATTTGGCATGGGTCCTCAGATCCTCAAAACATTCTACAGCTGCAACATCGAGAGCATCCTGACTGGTTGCATTACCGCCTGGTATGGCAACTGCTTGGCCTCCTATTTTTCTGTATTTTTCGTACATATTTCCATATCAGACTTTTCATCCTTCTACAAAATATACTTTCCTGCAACCCGCCTCACTCAATGTGGAACGGATTCTATTATTGACACACCTTTATCTAGAATCTAGAATCTCCAGTTGAAACTAGCTAGCCAGCTAGCCAGCTAACTAGCTACTTGCTATTAGCCTCAGCTAGCGGTATTTCACCCAGAACATTGGATTTTTTCTGCGGGATTAATTTTAATCACTGGACATTAATCACCGGATATTCGGCCAGTCTGCACAGCGCGTTATCGACCCAGAACATATCAGTTTTTCCGCCGGAATCACTGAATCACTGGACCTTTAACTCCGGATTCATCGCTATCAGCTAGCTACAACAAAACGGACGCTGTGGTCTGGCTAATCATCCTGAGCTAGGCCCATCTCCCGGCTATCTACCTCTCTGTCAACCGGACGGGACCACCTAGTGTTGACACGGAGCCCCGCCGATCCTACACGACTGGTCTGCCGACGAAATCGTCTGATGTGGTTACGACGTTAACCACGAAGATTCCATCCATCTGCTAGCCCCGGCCCGCTAGCACACGCTAGCCGTGGCCTCTTACTCACTAGTTTACCACCGGACCTTATGATAACTCAGCTATACAGCTGATGTCTGCTGGACTGTTCCTTTTTACGGTACTACATCCTGTTTATGTTTAGCCTCAGCCCAAACATGGTTAGTTTATTGTTGTTTCGGTTATTTCTAATTTTACTATATCACTGTAGACCCCCCAGCCTAGCTAAACCTGCCTTAGATAGCTCCTTTGCCCCTCCCCCTATACACGCGGAGACCGACTCAATTGATGCCTCCAGCGATGCTATCTCTTTCATTGTTACCCAACGCTTAGGTTTACCTCCACTTTACTCATATCCTTCCATATCCTTGTCTGTACATAATGCCCTGAATCTTTTCTATAACACCCGGAAATCTGCCCCCTTTATTCTATGTACCCAACGCACTAGAAGACCAGTTCTTAAAGCCTTTAGCCGTATCCTTATTCTAGTCCTCCTCTGTTCCTCTGGTGATGTAGAGGCTAACCCAGGCCCTGCAGCCCTCAGTATCACTCCTACTCCCCAGGCGCTATCATTTGATGACTTCTGTAATCGCAAAAGTCTTGGTTTCTTGCACATAAATATCAGAAGTCTACTTCCTAAGTTTGAGTTATTCACTGCGTTAGCACACTCTGCCAACCCTGATGTTCTAGCAGTGTCTGAATCCTGGCTCAGGAAGGCCACCAAAAATTCTGAAATTTCCATCCCCAACTATAACATTTTCCGTCTAGATAGAACTGCCAAAGGGGGTGGAGTTGTGTGGTGCCAGGACAACAACCTCTCCCTCAACGTGACCAAGACAAAGGAGATGATTGTGGACTACAGGAAAAAAAAGAGGACTGAGCACGCCCCCATTCTCATCGACGGGGCTGTAGTGGAACAGGTTGAGAGCTTCAAGTTCCTTGGTGTCCACATCACCAACGAACTATCATGGTCCAAACACACCAAGACAGTCGTGAAGAGGGCACGACAAAGCCTATTCCCCCTCAGGAGACTAAAAAGATATGGCATGGGTCCTCAGATCCTCAAAAAATTCTACAGCTGCACCATCGAGAGCATCCTGACTGGTTGCATCACCGCCTGGTATGGCAACTGCTTGGCCTCTGACCGCAAGGCACTACAGAGGGTAGTGCGTACGGCCCAGTACATCACTGGGGCAAAGCTCCCTGCCATTCAGGACCTCTATACCAGGTGGTGTCAGAGGAAGGCCCTCAAAATTGTCAAAGACTCCAGCCACCCTAGTCATAGACTGTTCTCTCTGCTACCGCATGGCAAGCGGTACCGGAGTGCCAAGTCTAGGTCCAAAAGACTTCTCAACAGCTTCTACCCCCAAGCCATAAGACTCCTGAACAGCTAATCATGGCTACCCGGACTATTTGCACTGCCCCCCCACCCCATCCTTTTTACGCTGCTGCTACTCTGTTAAGTATTTA